AGAATAAAGATGTGAGCAAAATCCACAAGAGCTGAAATCACTGGTGTGAGTTTATTATAAGTGTTTTGGGAAAAACAGGACAAGAGATAAAATCTGGGGAGTGCACTGGAAATAATGAATTGGGGGCATCACAGGGCAAGAATTGAAATCAGTTGGTGTGAGCTGACAGAGCAGAGTTGGACGATGCTGGAGCACACCCACAGTGTGCAGTGCTGGAACTGATGGAGCAGAGCTGGAGCTGAAGCAGACAAGGAGCTGAGAATAAAGATCTTGTGGGAAACAGGGCAAGAGCTGAAATCACTGGTTACAGCTTTCTATAATGTTTTGTGGGGAAATATTGCAAGGTCTGAAATCCTGGGGCATAACGTGGAAATAAAGCATCATGGGGGCACAAAGGGGAAGCACTGAAATAATGGAACACGTGTTGAAAATAAAAATTGAGGGGGGAAACATAGAGCATGTGGTAGCAGTGTTGGGCATTGTTCCAGGGAGCAGCAGCACCCTCAGCTCAGCCTGAGGATATGCAGAGACTCTGCTGGGTGCAGTCCCCAATGCACAGTGATGGCAGGGTCCAGGCCTGCTGCTTCTCAGCCCCACCGCCCCCCTGGGTTTCCGGGCATCTCCAAGATAAACTTAAAGATTGTCTTTTGTCAACTTAAGGTATTTCAGGTATTTATTCAAGTGCATCACTAATGTGCCCACTTCTGCATCCCATGAGACAGCAGTTCCACACCCACAGCTGTGCAGTTATCCCTGGACTCTGCAGCTGCTAAGCTGCTTCTGCTCAGCTTCTCCTGTCTCATGGACTGCAATGGAAACCATGTATCTTTGTGTTTGAGTCTGTGTGAAACATGAGAGTCCTGCTGCAAGAAGAAACGCTGGGAACACACTGCATCAGGCAGGTAAGTGCAAGGGAATGGGCCATACAGCTTCTGTGAATGAGAGGAGAGCAAGTAACAGCAATAGTCATATAGCTCACTGGACTAATTTAGTTAACCTATAAATTCCATCATGTTCCATAATACATTTCATTCAGGTTACTAAACCAGAATGCTTCACTGCAAAATAAAACTGCATTCCATAGAGGATGCATTGCACTTGCTGACAGGCTCCAATATTTTGGTTGCTCTCACTGCTGCTGCAGCCTGAAACACCCACAGCTGCCCAGTTCCTTCTGCTCAGGTGTCCTGTGACAGGAAGAATGCTTCCTGCTCTAGGTCCTTGCTCTGGCACTGGAACAAGTTTTCCAAGCTCTAAGTTCAGTGCTACAAGTCAAGATTCTAGCTGTGGGACTAAATTTGATGTTTGTCCCCAAAACTGCGTGCAACATACCTGAATCCAGGGCAGGCTGAATGGGACTCAAATACATTCTCAGAAAATCTATAGGGCTTGCACACTCTTCAGCTTTACACAAGTAGCCAATAGCCTCTGCTGGGATAAGCAGCTCAGGAGCAAGAGTGCACAGACTGTCACTGCTGGCCTTGCTGTCCTCCTGTGGAACAAAGAGCATTCTGATGCAGGTGCAGCAAGGGCACAGGGCTACAAGATACCTAAGCAGCAGGGCTGGAGCTGTTCCCCATTCCTGCATCCTTTGGGAGCGCTCAGGGACAAAGCCCAGGAGAGGGACTCGTGGGACACAAGCCTGTGGCAGTGCTGTGAATGAGCTCACTCAAACAGCTGCACAAAACAGCCAGACGCAGGTCTGAGCAGTGCAGAATAAAGCAATGACTTCTTGTGATGCTTCCTCACTGCCTCCAGAATCCTCTGAGCGTGCTGATGGACTCTGCGGCTGCTGAATGGTGTGGGGGAGTGCAGGGTTGGGGGAAAAACTGGGAACTTTACCTCAGCAGATTTTAGCACATAGTCTGCCACATTGATCAGCAGCGTAAGACACTCTGCGACCACCTCTTCTATAGACTGCGATTGCGCTGAGTCTTCTGGATGTGTCACAGGAGACGTCGCCACTGCCACATCCCACCTCAGTAACAGCCTGCTCGGGATGTTGTGTCCCACCACCAGGACTTTGATTTCCTGGAGAAGAGCACTGAGTGGAAAGGGAGAGAATTCTGTCCTTAAGAACAGCAAGCAGTTTGTATCATCACATTCATGTTTCATAACCCAAGGAATGTGTGATCTGCACTCAGTGTTGCCTGAGCACAATGTGCTGTACATGCTGCACACCTCCCAGCCTGGCCTTTGGGTGATGCAGATCATTGAACAGAAGCTTTTTTCAGGTTGTGCTCTAACAGCTGTGCAAGGGTCTGAGCAGACTGGTGGATGGGAGGGTAGGAAATGAGCAGAAAAGCAGGCAGGATTTAGTGAGCAAATGGAGGTATGGGATGCTGCTGTGCCCCATGGCACTCAGAGGGAGCATGAAAAATCAGTGTAATTGTGCCTAATGTTCTGTTCAACTTGAAAGGAGCTGCCTACCACTCATGTTACAATTTTCTTTCAGTAAAAGGTAATGGGAACCACTTACCTAGGACCCTGATTTTGGAGAGAAGCGAGAGCTCGGATGAGAAAATGTATTGTGCTACTGCAAGACTGCAGAGGAAAGGGTAGAGGTTTTATGGAACTGCATATTATAAAATACTATCTGAATAAAAACTAACTCTTCAGTATCCATTCCTGTAAATAGTCCTTGCCTTTGAGACCCACACACTGAGGACAAAGCATGTTCCTATTATGCCTGACAGAACACAGCACTTCATGCTGTCACATCCCTCCCTGCTCTGGGATAGTTTGCTTCAGTACTGGGGGCAGCAAATTCCAGAGGAAAGCTGCCTTCAGCTTTTAGTTCTCACTTTAAACCAGTGTATGGAATCAGAAGTGGTCACACGTTTGCAGTCAGCTGCATCTGAACAGTCAGGTTTGTATAAAGCTGAATTGAGGCCACTGGATCCCACTGGGAATTCCTTTAACTTACTTCCACTACATGAAGAACATGTCTGGAACTGAGAAGCAGCAGCCCCGAAATTTGTTCTCTTGTGTGATATTCTGATGCATCTTCAAGCAATTCTCTGTGATAACCTTGTTGCAAAAGAAGCAGTTTGTTACAGCACTCACAGTGAGAGTTCCAGCGGATCAGTCCTCTGTTCTGCGTGCTCAGATTTACAAATTATGCTTTTTTTATTCAGAAGCATTGAAGTATCACTTTAACGGGAACATGGGGATTGGTTCTTGAGGCATGCAGCACTACGATTTGTGTCAGCTCCTAAATCTGCACCCAAACCTCGCTACTAAGTGTAGCTGGAGTCCAATTCCTGTTGGCATTCACTGAGCCACAGAATCATGAGTTGGAAGGGAGCTCTGAATGCGGTGTGGTGCCACTCCCCGCACCCACAGCTCCATCAGTGCTCAGAGCCCCATCCAGCCTGACTGTGGCTGTGTGCAGGCATGGGGCACCGCCACCTCTGGGCACTTTGTGCTACTCCCTTACTCCAGAGGTGCAGTTACACCGCTGTTGCTATGGATGCACTGCCTGCAGGCCCCAAGCATGGAGCACTGCCACAGTTTTGCATGTGCAGCTGAATTCCTGCCTCTGCCCGACATTGGCACCAGCTCATGCAAACGCTCTGGGAAAACAAACAAAACAAACAAACAAACAGCTGCCTTAACACTCCTCACAGAACCACCCACCTGCCACCTCCTCCACCGCCACCTCCTCGCGCAGTCGGGCCACGACCAACAGCCGCTGCAGCGGGACGCGGCACTGCGGGCAGAGCACAGCGAGCGCAGCTCAGCATAAAAGCTGCCGCCGCCGCCGCAGCCCGGCCCGCCGCCCGCTCACCTGCAGGGTGCGACGCAGCCACCGCCGCCGCGCGGTCAGGAGGTTCCTCCGCTCCAACTCCAGCGGCTCCGGAATGCCGCGTCGCACGGCCGCTGCCGTCTCCTCCGCCATGGCCGGGCCCTGCGCCGGGAGCCGCCGGTGGGGGCCGCGCTGCGCTCACGGAGCCCGGGGAACGGCCGTCGTGCCGCGCGCCAGGGCCACGCCTCCGGCTCGGGCAGGTGCGGCGAGTTCCGGCAGCCACACGAGGCCCTGGGGGTGGGTGGGTTGGTTACGGAGCCGAGCACGTCGGCGGCGCGGCCCGGCCGCGTTTCTCCTCTCGAGGACGGGATGCACCTCTACGCACGTTCGTTCTCCTGGCGGAAGGCTTTAACGGCGCTGCACCGCATGTTCCCAGCCCACCCTGGAGCAGTGTGCGCCACCGCGCTCAGCACTGCTCATCCCATCGCTGCGTCTCGGCTGTGTTGCTCCGGCCGTATCAGCCCCAGCACCTGCCAGCATACTGCCATCAGCGCAGTCCCGTGGGAACGTCAGCAACCCCAGAGCGCAGCCCGCACGCCCACTGCGGCCCGCGGGGCGCGGATGAGGGAATCCAGGCTGTAAGCCGTGCCCCGGGTCAGTTGTGCACCCTGGTGGTGACAGGGGCTACAGCACAGGCAAACCGCGTCTTATGTGTGGTTACAGATGTGTAAATAGGAACAGAATCCAGATGTCCTATGTGCCAGGTAGTGCTTTAACCCCAAAAAGCATAATTATATACTTGGAATAACCAACACCGCGCTCCCGCCTCAGCTCGTTGTGCTCAGCTTCGTGCATCCAGTCCAGGTCTGCAGCTGTGCCAAGTGCTCCTCGAGGGAAATGAGGGATGCGTTAGGGAGAAGGGTCTGTCTTCTTAAATAAAACTTAGAAAGCACTATGAATTACATTAATCCTCTGCTAATTATTATTATTTACACCAATTAACATTAGTTGACGTCATCTGGGATCAGGCGGCAAACTGCTATGCAAAGTAGGCCCAGAGGAAGACCCCTGCACATATGCTCAGTATCAAGTTGATGTTCAGGACGTGCTTCACCAGTGGGTTCTCCTCCAGGGAAGCCATGGGACGCTCGGGTTTGGCTGGTGCCACATCATCAGGGTTCTCCTGTCTGCGTTCCATCCCACAGAGCCACAGGAGGGTCCTCACCAGTTTTGAGTCCTTCTTGGTGCCAGTCGGACCTACAGAGCCAGCACAGAGCAAGGTGTAAGAGTCACCAACAGCAGATCCCAGATATATGTCAGTATGGCCCTGCAGAAAGGGTTTTGATGCAGAAGTGCATCCTCACTCTTCAAACAAGTACATAGCTACACTGAGGTGTGGGAAACCCTTCAAATAACATCTGTTTGGGGCTGTACGGTCTATTTCTTTTTTCCTTGCAGGTCTGAGCTCAAGCTCTGCTCTTCCCAACATTTTAGGAAGCAGTAACAGCATCAAACCTAAAAGCCCATCTCTAAGTATTTGGAGCCCATCAGCTTCCTTTGCCACATGCACTTTGTCCAGTTAGGGTTACTCCACTTTACATGTGTGGAAAGCAAATTCTCCCAGCTTCGGGCTGAATTGGGCCATGTGTGACAAAGCATCAGTTTGCAACAAGAATGAGACTTCTCAGCACTGAGAGATCTGCACTTCTCTTCCTCGTTACCTTACTGATCTTTTCCTTAGCTTTTTATAGATCAGAGGAATACACAGCTGCACAGTTGCATAAACAGTGTCCCACGCCTGGCAAAAACAAGTGATGGTAATCATTGCTGGAAAATGCAGAATGAATTGCTATGCATGTTTGTACCTAATACCGACAAGTACAAGTTTTAAAAAATGTAAATCCTCCTTCACTGATCTGTCAAGAACTCCGCCCAGGGCTCTGGGTTCTCCCTGCTGCTAGAGTCCATCAGAAAACATCACTGAAAAACAGAAATGGAATTGCATGAAAGTAATTGTGTTTTTCCTCCACCCTCCCCTTTCAATCAGTTCTCCTTGCAGCAGGTGCAGGCTCTATGCAGGACAGTGGCATGGCTTTCTGTTTCCCATCCAGCTCCTTCTTGATTTCAAGCATATGTAATGCCATCAAGAGATGGAAAAGAAACTAAGTTTTTGCTTAGGTGAAACTGTCAGGTAAAACCCTTTAGCATGCCCTGAAGATACAGAAATCCAGAGGAAGCAGTTTTAACTGTTCTTGTCTTCAGAGCCTTTACATAATGCCTAGAGTTGTTAATTGTAGGTGTTACTGAGTATGGTGTTGGAGCACTTACATTTGTTATCATTTGTACTATTTTCAGAAGCAATGCTTATATCAATCTGGAGAGCTGGGCGCTCAGCTTCGCGTGCTCCTTTGGCAGTGTCAGGAGAAGTGCTGACCGCTAGGTCTTTCTTGGCTGGAGGATCCCCACGTGTGAACCAGGTAAGCCGACTTATCTGATGGCATGAAGAGTGGTGTTAAACTGCTTTGCGGTCACTTAAAGGACTGCCTGAGCAGTACAGCAGCCTGCAGAGAGAACACTGTGAGGGGTTGAAGTCTGCTCTCCCGCTCTGCTGGAGCAGGTGAACGGCTCAGAACCGCGCTGCTGGCAGCAGAGCGGTGCTGGGTTAGTTTTATCTGCAGCCTGAGAGCTCTTGGAAGGATGGAGTTCTTCACTTTTGGTTACTGCGTGGGTATCGCTGGATGCAGCCTGAGTGGGCCAGGGAAGGGAGCAAAAGAATGGAAACCGTGGCCAGTGAGGAATGATTCACAGAACGGGGGTTGTTTAGAGTAGAAAAGACAGATGGGAGATAGGATAATTTTCTTCAAATATGTCAAAGGCTCATAAAAGAGGAGTGTTCTCGATACCAGGGCAGACAGGAAGGGATGAGCACAACATGAAGCTGGAAAGATTCAGGTTGGAGAAGAGGAAAAACTTCTGCAAAGAGGGGCAGGATCTCGAACTGGTGGTGCACTTCCCTGGGCACCTCCCTCTGGGGGGCTTATGGGAGTGAGTTCACCACGGGTCTTTCAGAAACGCCGGGTTAGTCCTGTCTCGAAGCAAGAGATGCATTGGCTGTATGATTTCTGAAGGTCCCTTCCGGCCCTCCTTTCTGCTATTTACGTTTTTTTGTAGCCTCAGTATGTCTATTAAAAGTAGTCAAACTGGCACAAACCTGTTCCAGAGGAAGTGTGCTCTCTGCCCTTGATTTCTCTTTTCTGCGAGTAAAAATGGTTCCTCACTAAATTAGTAAGAGTTCATAAAGATGACCCAGAAGCTGGAATTTCTTGGAAAATAGAGGGAAAAAGCTAGTTTGTTATGCATTAAACACACAAGTTTGAACTTAAGAACAGCTCTTTGTAACATCAACTGTTGACCTGTTTCCAGGGTGGAACTGTGGCTATAGGGGACCAAAACCTTAAAAGGAAAGCAGCAGGCTGCTGGAGCAAAGGAGGGATTGCTGTTACAAGCGTTTTCATGTACTAAGAATTGATGGAAATGCCCATTGCCAGATTATTTATCTCCGCCTCATTCCCATGGATGTAACGTGGGACATCCGTTCACCAGTAAGGGAAGCAACGTGAGGGGTAGACGCACCATTTCCTCTGAGGGGGGTTCTGTCAGCAGGCTGACGAGCAGCACGGTGAGCGTGGAGACGGCCGCCAGCACCATGGAGAAGTAGAGGTAGTGCATGTAGCGCAGCACGCCCGGCCGCGCGTCCCGCTCCCCGCACTGGGGCTCAGGGAAGATGAAGTCCAACACCATTCGGATGACGCCCATCAGCAGCCCGAGCACCAGGCCCCAGAACGCGCCCTAGGAAGGGAGGGTTGTTTGCTGGAGCAAGAAGTGTGAGCCTCTCACGGCTATGAGCTGCTAGGCTTTCTCCTTCCTGTTTGTTTGTTTGTTTGGCAGCCTCCCACCCCTCCTTTTCCCACTTGTGCTGTTTTATCTAGGTGCTGTTACAGTAGTGTGGTGTCTGCCCTGCATGGGGACCAGTGGGCCATTCAAGAGGGATGTTTGCATCCCAGTGGCTGCTTTAACCACAGGTGCTAATGACTGCCCTCCAGCTAAGTGAAGCCAGGTTTGGGAAGGCTTTACCCCACACTTAGCACCAGGTGAGGAGCTGCAGGCTTTGGATTCCTGGTGCCCTGCTCCTTAAATATGTGGGCCCCCTGCTGCAGATCACACAAGTGCATCTAACGAATGGCAAGCAAGGCCCTAACGAGCTTCAGGCTTTATGAAGGACACCTTGCAGCCAAGCAATGCAGTCCTCTCACTGCTCATGAAATGCCTTTTGAAAAGCACCAGGAATTCCTGTCTCAGGGATGACTGTGTCCAGCACTGCCTAGAGGGGCTGTTACCTTCTCATTTGCTCGCTTCCAGAAGCAGCCCAATATGAACACCATTGCCACAGGGGGCTGCAGGTAGGAGCTGATGGATTGGATGTAAATGAAGAGCTGCCCACCCTGGCCAGCCTGGACCAGTGGGATCCACAGGATAGAGACCACCGTAAGTAGCAGCACAAAGACCCTATGCAAGAAGATGTCAGTATTGTTAGCTCAGATGTTTCTTTTCCAATTGTCCATCTCGCAAAACTCCTCCTGAGATCACTTGTAACCACGAGGCCTCAGCTTTAGCACTGCAGCAAGCCTGTACACCGTGGGGCTCTCAGCCTGTTTTCCCTTACAGTGGATCCCTTGCAACATACCTGACCCAGTTTTCCATACCTGCCAACAATCATGAGCTCCCACTCAGAGCATCGAGGCCGGAAGTGTTTCCAGAGATCCATGGTAAAAATGGTGCTGGCACTGTTGAAGATGGATGTGAGGGAGGACATGAGGGCTGCTATCATCACGGCCATCATCAGGCCCCTGAGTCCTGGAAGCAGAAAGATTGGTGCAGCCTCACTGAGAATCCCAAGTAACCACTTGCTGTATGCTGTCCCTCACCACACTTCCATCAAGCCCAATGTAACCTCACTGAATTACAGCTGCAGGTTTTTTCCCTTCTGGCCTTTTCCTGCGCAGGCTGCTCACCTACAGGCAGGAGCTCTATCACCAACTTCGGGTAAGCGATATCAGAGCAGCCGGATGGGTTGCCACAGATTTTTTGACAAATCTCCGGCTCTGCACAAGCCACCAGGTCTGAAATAAGCAAGGCAAATGAGAAGAAATACTCATGAGTCACAAGAAAAGGTATAGCTGAAGTCTGCTGTAGAAGAATCTACATTCTGCTAGTTGTAGATTCTCAGTGTTTTGTCATACTTTGGGTGCTTGATGCACTGCAAAAGCTGTCTCAGCTGCACAGAATGGACACAACCTGTAGTGGCTGTCAGAGGGAGCAGAACCCTCCTTCAGCACTGACCTGGGAAGAGGACCCGGCTGATCATGCCTGGCATCACCATCATGAAGAGTGGCAAAATCTTCAGGTAGGAGGTCATCAGGGAGCCTCCCTTGGCATGTGAGAGGTTTTTAGCAGCAAGGGACCTCTGAACGATGACCTAGAGAGGAAGAAACACGTTGGATCTGCTGCTGGGTGAGGCAGTCAGCTCTTGTGGTGCGGTTGGGTCACGCACTGCTCTCAGGCATGCTGTGTTTGTTTATATATTCTGTTCTCTAAACTATTGCAGTTGTAGAAAAGTGAGTATGGGGTGAAGGTGATCAGAACCCCGCAGAGCTGAAAGAGTTTGAGAGTGCCTCACGTCTTTATGGACTGGGATTAACAATGAGACACATTCTCCCCTCTTTCTACATCGAAATAATTCACAAAACCTAGTTGTGCTTCTGCAGTTTTGCAGTCTGAGGATTGAAAGCAACACATTTTACTGCACTGCTGTCAGAAACAGTGACTAGTCCAGGCTATGCTGCAGACTTTAGGTCTGCAATCAGAGTCCAACAGCCAAGAACACGTCCTCAAAAGCAAACCGAGGCAGAAGCGGTGACACACCTGGTCAGTACACCAGTACCACAGGGACGGGATGGTCATCCCCACCAGCACCCCTGGCCACGGAAGGTCGGAGTTAACAGGATCCCGAAAAATGTGGAAAGCGTCTTCCCTTGGCAAGCCGCAGCTGCTGTTCTCCTTGCGGGTGCTGGGAATGGCATCAAAGTATTTTGCCTGCAGACCTTCCAGACCGCCAACTTCAACAAAGCCTAAAATAGGTCATGAGAAGTAGTTGTCACGTCTTCTGTGCTCTCGGTTTTAGTCTCTTCAGTTTACTCAATAGATGGATAGCTATAGTCTCTATAAATCCTCCACGAGCATTCTTTAAAATCAGGAGTTACTGGCTTGGCAACCAGCCCATGGCAGGGGGTTGGAATGAGATGATTGTTAAGGTCCCTTCCAACCCAATTTTATAGCAGTGTGATCTATTCTACAGTTTTAATGCTGGGCAGGGGATAGCATCACGCTGTAAACCTGTTGGCTAGAGATGATGCTTGTTCATCTTTTATATTACCTCAGAACCTATTTCTTTAACTAATTTTTCATGGAGTTCTCGTGTGTTTTTACCACTTAAGAACTACTGTAAGATTATTTGATATGATAAGATTATATGAACACATATTTCTACAGGAAAAAAACATAAACATCAATCAAGTAAACATTTGTAATGACCCAGCATGTCTGTGGTGCTAAAGCTGCTGTAAGCTCAGCAAGGAGGAGCACTCACTGAAGACCATGAGGCTGATGGCACCGACCAGCATGATGAGAGTCTGCAATGCATCCGTGTAGATGACAGCAGCCAGACCACCTGTGGGAGCAGAGAGCAGTGCTGGAATCTGCTCCGACCCCCTCGGCAGCATCCTGGGGAGCAGCGCCGTGCTGCTCTGCCCGTACTCAGCCATCCCTGCACCTCGAGTTTCAAATCAGAATGAATCACCATTTGGTCACCAAGAAGCCGATGTCTGGTATAAATACTTCTATGGGAAATGCATGGAAAAACTCCAAAACAAAGCCCAGGCTGAATATGGAGGAGGAAAAACAGCAGTGGTGGAGGCGATCTTTATGAGCAGCATCACCAGGGGTGAGCGCTGGGAAAGGAGCAACCTTTGTTTGTATGGGATTTGTGCTCACTCCGTGCATGGCTTTGTTCCATTTGGCCACTGTTAAGCCCCAAAAGGGCACCCAGGACTGACAATGCCTTTTGCATTACGCAGCTCATTGCTATGTTAATCCCTCATACCCTAAAAAGCCCAGAGGAGGAACTGCACTGGGCAAATGCCATGAGCATCACTTCTCTTAAGGGGAGACTGCCGTGCATCCATATCTGGTGTGGCCTTGTAAGGGGCATTCATAAACTCACTCCTGGTAATACTTTTTAACAGGTGAGTTACCACGTGCTGTTCTCCATACTCATGGCAAAAACAGATAGAATGTGAAATTCAGGGCCCCTACCAAAAGCATGAGGCTGTTTTGTGCACTGAGCAGGACCTGCTGTGCTCCAACCTGAAACTCAGCCACGCACCTGCTACAGTGTAGACAGCAGTGATTGCTAGCAGGCCTGCCACAGCAATGTAGAGGTCCCAGTGCAAAGCTTGCTGAATGAAGAGGGCACCAGCATACATATCAACCTATGAACAAAAATGATTTCAGTTGCTAGATGACATTACCCAACCCCTGTAAGCTGGAATGGACACACAGTGATTTGCATCACAGTATGTTCTTAAGGAGCATCCACAGGACCCCAAGTATGCAGTGCTCCCAGGGATCAGGCAGGTGTGTGCCAGGCTCCCGGCCCACCTGTGCCCTGTGTGCACAGGAAAATCACAGACAGAGATCTCTCCACTTTCTCCAGCTTGTGCAGTGCTGCACAGTTAATGAGCAGCTCGCAGGGTGTTGTGCAAGGCTTGCTCCTGTTATTCATTCCAGGCACTGCATCAAAGGGAAGCAGCAATAAATCACGGGACTCTTTCTGCCTGAGCACATACCAGCTCCTGCATTCTTGTTCACCCTGCAGATAGCAGCAGTAGGTGTTTGTGCAGGAAATGAACGTGCAAAGGGAAGAAACTGGGCAAGCTAGCCAGGCATACAAATCTAACGACAGTGCATCCACTCAGCTTAACCTTCCAATGGGTAATTGCTCAGGATGTTGACAGCTAGCTTTCCCCTTACTGTAGCAAGCATTCAGATCCTTAATGGGGAGAAACATAACCATTTTTTGTAGCTTCTCTAAACAGCTATAGTCCACCTTTCTCGGGTACTTTAAAAATATACCTCTATTTCTGTTAATCCGGGGAAGGGCCAACCATTGCATCATCTTTTCAGTACCTAAAGCAGGGCTATAAGAGAGAAGGGGACAGACTGTAGCAGGGTCTGTAGTGGCAGACAAGAGGAAATGGTTTCAAACTAAAATGGGAGATTCAGATTGGATAAAAGAAGAAGCTATTTGCAATGAGGGCAGAGAGGCAGTGCCCCATCCCTGCACACAGCCACAGTCAGGCTGGACGGGGCTCTGGGCACTGATGGAGCTGTGTGTCCCTGCTCAGTGCAGGGAGTGGCACCACACAGCATTCAGAGCTCCCTTCCAACTCAAGCCATTCTATATCTCTGTGATCTCAGCCTGGCTGGGTAACGCACTCTTCCAAAGCAGGTTGAATTCAACTTCCTACCACTTTTTCCTACTCACTGATATTTTGGTGAAGATGTAGATGAACAAGTAGAGAATCGCCAGGAATATCTGGATTCTTTTTCCACCGAAGCGTTTCCGCAGGTACTCTGGCATGGTGGTCACCTGTGTGGGACAGACATGCTGGAAAGGCAGCAGCACACAGGGGCTCAGCTGGGAGCTGTGCAGCTGTAACTGAGCGTGGCTGAGCTCCTGAGCCACGTGGGGGTTTGAACGCCAGAAAGTGACTGATGGACACAACGCCCCATTTACTTACTCCTGCTGCTATGTAAATGGGAAGGAATAACCATGCCAGCACCAAAACACAAAACATGCCCTGCAAAACAAGTGGAAAAGAAGATCAAAATGCTGCTCTAGGCTGCAGTCAGGTGGGGAGAGCACGTGGCACTCAGGGGCATGGAGGTCTGGGGACTTTTCAGGCCCCCCAGCAGCTGGAAAGGCAGCAGGAGGGCTGCCGTGCGTATGGAGCCATGCCATGCCATACAATGCCACACTCACATTCCACTCGTAGGCTGTCGCAGCGATTCCTGATGCAGCTCCTGACCCTGCCAGGCCAATGAAGTGCCCGCTTCCAACATTGCTGGCAAACAGGGATGCACCCACCTGGGAAGAGATGCAGGGGTCAGGCACGGTGTCCCTGGGGAGCTGGGGGTGCATAGAGGGGAGGTGGCAGGGAGGCACTGTGCCAGCCAGCTGCACTGGTCCTGGAGAAAGCCAGCATTGTTACTGGGTCTTTGCAAAAACACGGAACACATCTTTCTTCTTTTTGGAGAAATGAATTCTGCATGGACAAAGGTCTCACTGTAACCTAGGGGCATAAGCAGGATAACAACAAAGATACTTACAGGCCACCACACCATCTGTCCCCCAGCCAGAAAGTAGCCTTTCACCGTGCTGCGCTGTGTCTTCCACATGGACTGAGAAAGCAGAAGAGCAGAACAAAGGATCACCATTATCAGCTGCTGCTCAGAACCACACTGAACACATGGCTGGTCCCCCAGCAGGAGCCTGTCCTGTCCTCACTCCAGACCCACAATGGAGGCAAGCAATTTTGGACAAGAGCTGTGGGCCCCTGCAGTTATCAGGAGTGCTACACACTGCATGTATGACACGTTGACTCCCATTCTTCAGAGATCTCAAATGTTTTCATGTGATATGGTGAGTTCTGCATCGCATGTGGAGGCAGCAGCCATTCATCTTGCCTTGTGACAGCCAGACTGTGCTTCTGCTATTGCAAAAGCCATGCCAGGAGGATGTCCTGCTGCCGTAATTGTGTGTGAGGACTATTTTTAATTTACAAAATCTGCTGGCAGGACCTCACCGCTGACAAACACAGATGATACATGGGACAGCAGTTCCTTCCCGAATGAACAAAACATTATTAGTAGTGCTTGGTACTTACACAACCTCTTCCTCACAAGTGCTCTCAGTACCTCTGCAAACACTGGAGTTGAACAGCCCTCCTGCGGCGCATTGAGGGCACTTCCCCATGCTGAAGTAGGGGAAAGGACCTGTCAGCTGTGCCCTTCCACTCATGTAGTTGAATTCAGTGAAGTGCGGCTCGATTCAAGCCAAAGTAAAAGAAGTTGAAGTCCATACAGCCATATTCTCCAATATAACAGCAGTCTGAATGTTAAATGCTTACCCAGAGCCCAACAGCCAGGACAAACACAAAGTACAGCACGAGGATAGTGATGTCTATGGGGCCCAGCGTCTTCTGGGGAAACACATCCCACTGGGGTGTCACCGATGATGGGGTACTGCTGGTGCTCTCCATGGCTCCTTGTGCAGGATGGACGCTTCCTCTGGGCATAGATCTGTAAAACATGGGCTGTGTGGTTGCAGCACTGTGGCAAAAGGGGAAGCTGCTGACTGCTCCTGAGCATCCCCAGGGTGCCCTACTCTGCACAGCCATGGGATCTGCTCTCCATTACCCTGCAGAGCTGAGGAGACGTCCTTGAGCCCCACAGCACCACCACCACCAGGACACTGAGTGCCCGCTCCTCCTTCTGCTCCTTATGCCTGGTCCTCTGGCTACTGCTGCACTTGTAAGGTGACACTTATAAGCTCCCACCTCAAAATGCTGGAAAAGGTGGGGCAGGGAAAGGCGGTGTCACCTGCTGCTGGGGAGAGGAGCAGCTCAACAGGTTCTTCCCCTGAGCCCAGGGCCCAGCACAGCACAGAGACATCCACCTGTGCCCTGTGCATGGCTTTCACAATGCCCTCTGGCCTCACCCGTTTGTTGATATGGGAAAATGCAGCTTTGACAGGGAATGCAAGGAAGCCTCACCTTCCCTGGTGCCTAGCGAGCTGTCTGCAGTGCAAGCAGCTGCTCCTGGGTATTGCTGGCATGGCCAGGTATGTAAGGCCCAGGTGTGTGAACAAAGCAGAGTGGGAATGAATATACAAAAGCACGCCCACCGTCCCTACAGTCAAGGCAATGTTGCAAATGTACCAGTGATGAAAATGCAACAATTTCTCTGGGCAGCACTGAAAAGTGTCCTGTGTCCCCGCTGAACTCAGCCTCAGCCTAGGTTGGGGTTGTGTTTATGGGAAGGTTGGGCAGTGGATGGTTTTCAGATGCAGTCCCATCCCCTGCCGTACACAGCAGGTGGGTTGTGCCCTGCGGTAGCCACAACCTGGAACTGCAGTGCCAAAGCCCATCCAGAACCACACTCTAAATGGTGAGTGCTGAGAGCACAACCTACAGGGCTGCAGAGCCCTTCCCGTGCCTTACAACATGCCCAGGTCCCTCTGCATCTTCTGGGAGTGCTGGTGCTGCACCTCCTTAAGGAGCGGCATCTGGGCTGGCACTGAGGCTGTGCTGGCACACGTAACTTGGAGAAGAGAAATGCTCGTTGGCGCGCCAGTCTCGGGGAGCTGCTAACCCCACTGCCACCTCCCGCTTTCTCTTCTGCAACTCTCATTCTGCCATTTCTTACCAGCCCCAAACACCTCCCATATCGGGTACTGTGCACTTGCAGCACAGTTTGCACTGAGCTACCTGAGATCAGCCCCAGGCTACCTGAGTTCAGTCAGGCTTGGCTTTATGTTTTCCCTCTGCAATGCGAGCAGCACCAGCCGTTTCTTGTGTTGCCAACGAGGAAGGGACACACAGATGTGCTGGGGGTGTCCCACACCGAGCTGCGTCTGTGCCACACAGAGCACAGGGACGAGCGCGGTGAGCTCAGCTGCTCCGGCTTCAAATCCTCACTCCGCCACGGCCCAGTGGAAATTTTGCCCGTTTTGTGCATTCAGGTCACAGCGCGGTCCCCCTCGGTTCCTGGCACAGGCGGCAGCGCTTTCCTCGCCAGAGATTGTGAGCAAGGAACATCCGTGGCATTGAAATGCGGCCGCTGAAGCCGGCCTTTATCAATGGTCCGGGGAGACGCAGCCACGTGGGTGCCGAGGCACCGCCGGCGCTGTATCTCTCTCAATGCCGCTGCAAGGGGATTTTTTTTAAAGCTTTCCCAGCTCCGTACCCCTCCTACAGTGACCGCCGCTCCCGAGGGTGTCCGCCCCGCAGCCGCCCGCAGCCCAGCGCCCGACCGCGAGGTAGAAGCCGGAGGACTTACTGCGCTCAGCTGGGTCTCATTCTGCTCCCTCGCGCTAGGCACCACCGAGCCTCTGCCAACTGACGGGCAGCTTAAATATTGCCAGAGAATGGGGATTTGCCAGCGGAGCTGCTAACAGTGTCACAAGGAACGAGGAGGAATATTTATAGTCAAAGTTAAACTAATTGCCCGAAGTTACTCGTTCAGTCTCCCGCGGCTCTGGTGAGAAGTACGTTATTTTCACTATCAGCGCTCATAGGTCAAACTCCAAAGACTGCCATCCTCTTAAGCAATCTGCGCAGCTAATGAAGGGACAAGTAACAATGAAAGTCAGCGCCGATGTCCTCGCAGGCTGACACCACAAGACACAGGAGGGAGCTGACAGCCCTGCGTCTGAATGCGTGCCTGAGCCTTACAAAGGGCAGGATTCAGCCGTGGGCTGGGGTCCGTCTATGAGCCTGTAGGTGAATCCCAGGATTGGGTTCCTTTCTGAGAACAGGGTGGATAAACGTTCACATCAAATAATGTGCACTGAATGGTGCTGAAGGGAGATTCCAAAATGAGAGGCTGTGGCAAGAAGTAGGGGTGCAGCTCACGCCCAGGCATGGGTGCAGCTAACGGCCAGGCAGAACTGCCATTGCTGGCTGCCCTTGAGCAGAGCCTGTGTGTCATGACATGTCACAGCTCTCTGTGCTGCCTTTTGGGAAACCTCACTTCTCTTAAAACCTCCGCTGTTAGAATGGGAATTTCAACTTTCACCTTTCCTTTTGGCTTTTCTAGATAGACAGTGGAGGAAAGTTAAAAATGTAGTGATGAAAAGGAGCACCCCAAAGCAAGCCAGAAGGAAAGTAGGAAAACCTGTCTTTTAGATCAGATCACACTGAAGGATGTAACCAGTCTTGTGGCTGGAGGTGCTTACGTTTGATCTGCTAGAATGTGGAAACGCCAGGATTTCCTAGATTGTGTTAGAACAACGCAGAACATCAGGGGCCACGAGCCGAGCACCCAGGTGCCCTGTGCTACCTCCAAGCTGTGATAGTTTTTGACTTCCAGCCCTTCCCATCTGTAGCTGAAACTTCAGTTTGTCCCTTTGGCAGCTCTCACAGTCCAGGAAAAAAAGCACAGCTTACAGCACTTCTAACAAGGTGCAGAGGAGACTCATTCAGACATGTTCCAGCATGGCTTGGAGACACAGAACCATCAGAGTTGGAAGGGACCTCTGGAGATCGTCTGGTCATTCTGGTGCTAGTTTATCCCAGCCAGTCTTCCAGCTGGAGCTGTGGCCAGGACTTCACCATAGCTTTGCTAAAGCAGCTTTCTCTCTCTCTCTTTTTTTTTTTTTTTTTTAATTTCCTCCCCATTTCTTGCAGGAAAAAGTGAAACCTCCTGGATATTCGCACATGTGAAGTGCAGCCTGGGGTCACCTCAGGGCTGCCCGGTAGCTGGATCCTTCCCAAGGACACGCTCCCCAAGAAGGTAACACACGGCCAAGGTTGTGGTGCTGAGGATGGGCTGGGCAGGGCTGGGAGCTTCCACCCACTGCATGGTGCTGGGAAAGGATTACTTAACGCATGGAGTTATCAGGGACAAACCAAAGAGCACAGGGCAGGTGTTGCTGAGGCTCAGACTCAATGTCTGCCGATGGGACACGGTCTGCAGCGGTTTGCAGGGCAGCTAAAGGAACACCAGGCTCTTGGCATGGCGTGTTTTGACTTCTGCCCACAAGTTGGTGCCAGCTCTGTGCAGAGCCCCCAGGGAGCAGCTGCCATGGAGCAGGCTGCTGTAAACAAGCTAAACTGCAACTAGGAGATCTGATAGCAGACCAGCCCCTATCTCCACTGGTGGCATAGAGATAAATTGCCCCAAGGACATTGCCTCAGCTGCAGCCAGGAATTCCTTCTTGGAGGGGAACAATTCACTAGCTCACACGCACACAGCTGTTTTCTTCTGAAGGCTGCAGAAAAAAATCCCTGCTATTTTAAGAATTTGCTGCTGATACTCATCATACTGGCTTGAATTCTGCTCACAAATAACTCTTTTCTACATGAGTGCAGTAACTTTCCCCATACCAGCAGGGTCAGATGATGCACTTCCCCAGTGCAGGTCAAGGGACTGATCCTGAGGTGTGCAGTCACACAAGTGCCAAATGCAGAATTCCTCGTGCCTTCATCTGCAGCTGTTGTACAAAGCAGTTTTCAACAGAGTGGAGATGTACATGCAGCCAGGAGGCAGAAGGCAGCAGCTTTATTTTGGGAACAGCACATAGGCATCAGGTAGAGACTGAACCATGAATACACACAGTCCCATCATCAAATGATATAACCGTATCTCAGAAGTTCTGGGTCTTTGAAAATATTCACATAAAAATACCAAGGGGGCTGGGGCTCTAGCTATCCTGGAAAGTTACAACATGTAGCAAAATCTATGTACAGCATTTTCACATTTTTAATGATGGTTGCATAATAACCTCCAGTGGTTTGAATTTTTAATACATTTTTACAAAAAAAAAAAAAAAAAAAGAAAAACAAACCCAAAACAACAACAACAAAAAACAAAACACCAAAACCTGAATGCAGTGAGAACATCCAAAACGTAAAGTGGAGCTGGGTGCGCATTGCACTGCACCATTACTGGGGGAGAGAAGAGCTCTGACAGCACAAGGCTGGGAACTGCCTGGCACTTACAGCTGTTATAAACCAAAACACGTGGGGAGAAGGGTTAAAAAAAATACTGAAAACAGAAGATCTGATGGTTATAAGGTCTCCCATAAATAATGCACCGGTTGGTAGTTGTGTATTTCAGCACAGTGAGAGCTCTCACTCTGGCATCGGCATGGGGGGGTCACCTAGGCGTCAGCGAGTGGGGGGCTCAGGTGGGTGGGATGTGCACAGCAGTGGCAGCACTGTGCACTGAGCAGTGCCTCGCTATGCTAACGCACTGCGCTGCTGTGCCGCAAAGCTCGCGGGCGCTGCGTGGTCTGGAGGCACGTGCATGGACTGCAGGGTGCTGCTAGCCCTTTGTCCCGGGACGTCTCGCGGGGAATTGCCTTGATTATAACAAACAGCCGCTGCTGCAGGATGGGTGTGCATCAGGCCCCTGATACGGCCTGCATGGACTGCTCAAGTCGTTGTACATCCCCAAGCTCTGGGAGCGGGTTCCAGAAGGCACGGGGTGCATTCTGGCTGCTCTCTGCTGCTCTCAGGGCAGGACCAGGGCATCAGAGGGCTCCCGTTCATTTTTAAGCTACCAAAGATTTTGTGCTTTCCAAGGAGGCACCAAAATGCTCAGGGATCCCTGACTCCTGGTGAGTTCGGTTAAGTCTAGTGCTGATGATATTAGATTATTGGGAAGATTTCTCAGTCATTGACAAACTCTTATGCAAAGCTGCTAGCCAGGAAGGGCTGTGGGGCTTTTCTTGCTCCCCTGAGCAGCTGGGCAAAACCAGCCTGGATCTTCATTTAAGACCACATATTGTGCCAGTGGGGTTCTGCAAGGTCTCATTTCTTCCTATTGCCTCAGCATTGCTGCACAATGTGCCCAACCCTGGTGCTTCCAGCTCGGGCACCTGGCATCAGGGCTCTGCATATGCAAGGGAAACACTGGGGACACATCCTGCATGAGAGGCTGGGACCTTGCACAACCACACAGAACATGGCCGTGGGGATGAGTGACAGGGCTCCAGTGAGCACTGGCACCAGGACTGTGTGCCATGGGAGCACAGGGCAGCGGGGTTTCACCCAGATGTGTCTGTAGTCCTTGATTCTGCGATACACTGGAAATGAAGGATGCTAGGAAGGATGCCATCAAAACAACACAGTGTTTCCCTTTGTGTACCAGTGCCTCAGCCCCATCTTCACCTGCAGCCATTCACATGTGTGTGCTCAGCATCCAGGCTGCCCCAGCCCCTGCGGTTCTGCTTGACGGTAGCAGGTGGCAGCAGCCTATTTACAACCAAACTCAATGGGAGCAAATTGCACTTCATTGGCAATGAATCCTTGCACCTCATGTTGTCACCAGGCAAGGGGGGATGTCATCCTGGGGCTGCGCTGGCTGTCTCCAACCTGCACATCTGTGAGCGCCCGCTGTGGGAAGAGAGCAAATAGCAAAGAATCAGGTGAGGTGGGGAGCACACTGCAGAATGTCCCCCCCTGCATCGGGCACCAGCCTCAAACTTATTGGGTGTTGGAAAAGTGGCCATTTTGCTGCTTGCTGCTGCTGCAAGGAAACCCTTTTCTGACTGCCTTTAAGAAATACAACTCACCTCAAACTTGCTCATGAATTCTGCAAAAATGCCAAAGAAAGCTTCTGAGGTTGTCATTTTGGAGTCTTCTCCAAAGAAAGACAGCACCTTGCTGAACTCCTCCATGGCCCTGTGCTGCAGGTCGTCCAGTGAGCGCATGGCGGGCTGCGCGCTCTCCAGGAAGGACTGGGAGGGATGGTGTAAAGGAAAACACCCTGGACTGGGGCCTGGCATGGACATCACCACTTCTAATGGCTACTAGGCAGGGACAGTGACCACTAAATGGTTTTACTGGAGGGCAGCAAGTGTGCTGGGGATTTGCCCCTTTTACAGAAGGATACGGTCATCACGATGGCGAACCGGTCCTCGGCGGTGGCTGGCATGCTGTGGCAGGCCATCTGGATGTCGGTGACAGTGGTGTGAAGGTCCTTCAGGTCGGCCGTCAGTGTTCTCTGGTTCACTGCAGAAGAAGAGGAGTGGGCAATGCTCCCCAGCTCTGGCTGCCTCCTACTGCACGTCTCCTTCTGCCCTGCCTTGTCCGTGGGGTTTAAACAGCAGCAAGGCCACATGCAAAATCCAGCTGGGAAAGCTGCCAGTACAAACCTTTATCTAGGGAAAACTTACACCTCTGGGGCTGAATTATCTTATCTTTATTTATCCCCGGCAGCACCAATTCCCAGGGGAATTTCTTGCCACCCAGGAGGAGATAGGGTGCCAGGAGGACCTCCATGGTTGCCTGCAGCCATCCCACTTGCCAGCATGCAGAGGGTGACCCTAAGATCTTTGTGACTTCTTTATGGCAGCTCATTGAGCCCTGTGATTCTCAGCCTGGGTGATACCACAGACTGTGGACATACAGCATACATAGCCAGCAGTCATCAGCATGGGTCAGCTGGGACCTTCCTGCTGCTAAGCTCGTGCTTTGGCATCCTCCTTCTCTCACTCAGCACCATTCCTCTTGGCTTGTGCCAATGGTGAGCAGCTTGTGGCCAATCCTATACTCAACCATTCACCAAACCCTATCCCCTACACCCACAATGAACCATGAGGCTGTGCAGATGCTCCCACATGTGCTTGTGTTCCATTACCTTTGGCAGCAAGCGGCACTGTGGGAAGATCCTTGGCAAAGCCCAGAAGCTCTGGGAAGTGTTGGCTGAGAGATTTGGCAAGGATGTGCAGGAAGGTGGATTTCCCATCAACGGTCTTGGTTGTGTTCAGCTGCAGCAAAGCAAAGCAAGAAAGGAGGCCCTTTGCAGAGTGGGTTTGGGAAGCACCCAGCAGCTCTGGCTGCACAGAGGCTCCTCTGTGCTGCCCATCTCTCACTGCATTGCTGCTGGCACTGCTGCCTCCTGCACGAGGAGAAGTAAGCTCTGTGTCCTTACCTCTGTGAGGAAGTTGATTTTGAAGCCTGTCGTTTTGCTGGTCTTGGGCTGCCCGTTGTTCAGGTAGTTTCCCATGGCCAGCACAAACTGCAAAGAGAAACCACAGTGACCAAGCAGCACAGGCAGTGCCCATCTGCTTTGGTATCCATCTCCTCTGGTGCCTGTTTTGGGTCAGATGGATGTACAATGAATGCAGCTTACTTTAGCACTGTCTAGGAGCACCTTCCCTCCCTGCAGCACTGGGGCCTGGTCTGGATCAGTGCCTTTGCCCCTTTCAGCACAATGGAATTTTTCTCTCTTGGCAGCATCCCTTGCAGGACCAAAGCTAATTATGGAGGCTGCAGGGTAAGGATTGTCCTGCTGCCCAGCAAATCCTTCCCCTCCTAAAAACCTTTTGCAGATGTTATGTGTGGATCTTTAAGAGGATCTTTAAAGAGAAAGCAGCAATCCAGCAGAGCTGTTCACCTCCCTAGGGGTCTGACTCTTCATACTATGGCTTTGCAGCACTGAGGCACTGCAGGGCCTTCAGCCAGCACCTCAGAGCACCTGGAGCCCAGCCTGGGCTCTGGATTCCTGCTTGCTCTTTGTTACCATGCAGCCAGCATCTCCTCCTCAGCGCTTAGCTGAGGTGCTGGGGGTCACTGGCCAGGAGACCCATGGCAATTCATCTCTCATCTGGAAATGCCTTTTGTCACACTGTGTCCTTATTCACCCCACCTGACTTTTTTTTTAAAAGCAAAGCTGAGGGAGTTCACCATCATTTGGGGCAGCACATTGAGCTCATCTGAGCGTGGCAAAGCATGCCTGGCCCTGGGGTCCCCAAGGGCTGCTGCCCACAAGAGGGCTGCTTCTGACCTCCAGGATCTTTGCCAGCTTCTTGCTGCTTTTCAGCTCCAGAGAGGCCTTGCAAATACATTCATAGCTCGCTTTGATCTCCTCTGTCTTCTCCTGCAGAGTGGTCTTAAAGTGAAGGCTGCGCAGTCGGATCTTGTACTCTGGTACTGACAGCATCTGAGAGCAAAAGGAGGAGGAAATTACTCCTGTCCTTGAACCACAGTCCCTCCTAGAAGATTGAAGTTTTTCCCTGTACTTAAAAGTGGCATCATGCTGTAGGAAAGCAAATGTTACAGCAATGCTCACAGGTCAACAGAAAGTAAGCCAGAGCTGGGCAAAGTCACTCCTTAGTGTGCAGCAAAAAAATGAGGCATGTTTTGGCCATGGGACATCCACTACTGCCAACTCCCAGGCACCACTCACAGTGTCCCTGCGTGGGTGCCCTCAACCTCCCCCCCAGCATCACAGCCCTGCATGCTTTCTGCCCTGTTCCCCTTCCCTGCAGCACTCAGTGGGGTGACTCCTGGATGCTGCACAGAGCACCTCCCTCCAGCAGGCACCTGCAGCACGAACTGGTCAGGCTCGCTCAGCTTGCCAGGGTTCTCCTTGTAGCTCTGGAAGCGCTGCACCTCCTCCCCATCCGGGGCATACAGCAGGAGCTGCTTGATGTGGGAAGGCTCCAGGCGGTCCGTCTCCATCGTCATGAGGATCTGACGCAGTTCCATGTGTGAGAGCTTCAGGTGGGCGATCAGGATGGCTGCAGGGAGGGATGCAGTCAGTGGCACGGCAGGCAGGATGTTTGGCATGGCCAAGAAGTGTGGACTTAGCCATGTGCCCAAGCTGGCACAGATCTGTGCTCGGAGCAGGGGAGGCTTTCCACTCCCCAAAGCACTGCAAAGGCTGTGGGAGTCCTGGGGCATCACTGCCTCCTGCAGCCCCCACTCAGACTGTTGTGCTGCTTTGCATGCACATCTCCAGTGCAGCAGGGCACCGTGCCCTGAGCCCCTGCCCAGCCCCACACCAGGACAGCCGGGATCCCACAGGCTCCACCATGCCCCCGCCCCACTGCAAGCACCTGAGATGTGGTGCTGAGCCCTGCCCACAGCCCTGCAAGCTCTTCCCAGGCCAATGAGTCACATCCCATCTCTGTCCTGTCCTTCCCTTCCTCCGCCCGCTGCCCAGGCTGAGCCAAGGTCTGCAGGGCCTTGCTGGGTGACAAGGACAGCTCAGACCAGGGGAGTTGTGCTGGGATTGTGCTCATGGGATGGTGCTCATGTAGCCTCCCTCCTTTTACCTTTCCAGCTCTCTACATCCCTGGTCCCATCTCTGGGCCTGTTTGGGGGTACATTCACCATGATGTTTACTTACATGTGTTGTAGGCCTTTTTGTGGGACAAAATTTCGACCACGTCTTTCTTTTTAAATGTTTCAGGCATGAAAGTTGGCTCTGGAAGAGAAACTGAGAGATATAATCATGGGTAAGGACAGGCTCAGCTGTCTCCAGCGGGAAGAAAACTGCTGAAAACAGTGAAACCATGAATGAGATAGAAGGACTGATGCTTGGCACACAGCAATGGCTCCGGGAATCCTTGAATTCTGCGATTCAAAGATCTCCTGAATGGAGGACTCGGAGCTGAAAAAGGTAAAACGAGAGGTGAAACACACAGAAAATCCTAGAAATATCCCCACATTGACAGCCCCTGGCAAGGGTCACATAGCATCCCACTCCCACCATCCATCCCATCGGAACCTGCCCGCATGAGATTGGCTCTGCCCACGCCTGCTGCCATTGCTGTATGTTATTACGTATGTAAAAAGAAAAGCGTTACTCGTGGTGCCCTCTATGGACAGAGAAATGTGTTCACAGCTTTTTGAGGGCTGAGCTTTGGGAGCAGCAGGGCTGCGATGCAGTGCGTCCCAGTGTGCAGACAACACACGTGCACGGACAGCAATAAGCAGAGCCCATTACAGATGGGTACAACGTGTGCTGCAGGTTGGAAGCCAGGCCTGTTGTGGCAATGAGGAGCAGTTTTGGCACACAGTGTGGTGTGGAGCTGACTGAGCATGGGAGCGGGGAGCAGAACCACAATGCAGAGCTCTGCTGCCCAGGCTGGCAGAAATGCAGAGAGAAAACAGGTAACGGCAGCAAAGAGAATTAAGGGAGACAGTGAAACCGTCTTCACCTTAATAGTCTGCAGTGCCAGCACTCCAGCACCCTGTGTGTGAATGGTGCTGTCTGCCAGGTGCCGGAGTCAGGCGACGGCTGGTGACCATGGAGCACTGTGCCCCTCTCAGGCTGACCCCAAGACCTGCCCAGGGGCTCTGTCACTTACTGGTTGGCTTCTGCGTCCCAAAATGAAGCTCCAGGTCGAGGTATTTGACCATGTCACTCAGCTTGTCATAGTCCGAGTCCTCCCCGAGCTGCAGGAGGAGGAGGAGCAGGTGGGAACCTGGGTACTATGCCCCATCCCCACCACCACCTGGAGATCTGCATCCCCAGGAAATCCCACACTGATGGCACTATTCTTATAAGGGACACTTATAACACTAGCAATGCCCTGCAGAAAGCTGGGGAATCATTCACCGCCTATGGAGGTACTTCTACACTCAGTACAGAGCCCATCTCACAGGTCTCACTCATTCTCTTTAGAGAAGACGGGAGGACACATTTCCATCCATCACTGCCTCCTTGCCCCACGGGTCTGTTTAGCTCCTGTCCTGCACTGAAGCCCCCCAGAGCAGTGCTGCTGTCCACCTGCTGCTGGGGAACAGCTGCTTCACTAAGAACATAGAATTCCAAAGATGCCTGGAATTGTTTGCATCCAAAAAGTCAACGGGAAGAAACATTTCATTCTCCATGCTGTAGGACAGAGAGACATGCCTGCTGGGATGCAGGATGGGAGGGCAATCCCACAGCTCTCATCCAGCTGTTTGGAGCTGCCATCCAGCTAACATCATGGGTGGAAGCTGAGCTCCACCAGGCTGGAGGCTGAGCTCCCAAGGCCTGCATCTCCCTGCAGAGCCCTGAATCCACCTCCAGAGCCTTTCATTGCCTCAAGTTCATTGTGCCAAAGGTTTATTGCACTGAGCCTTACTCCTTGCTTCTTCTTTGCCCCCATGTGCTCTCCATGCTCTCCCTACCAATGCTGTGAACCACACTTGCAGTTCCCCACTGATAAACCCGTGACTCCCTCGCATCCCCCGGGCCATACCTGTCCCCAGATGGTCCCCTCCGAGTTCTCCACCTGCTCCCACCGCAGCCTCTTGACACTCATGTGGTTGGTCTCACTCCGGCGGTGCAGAAGCCCCCGGTGCAGGGGGGGAGCACAGGGCACAGGTGGGGGTGGCGGGGGGGGCGGCGGAGGCGGAACAGGGTGCAGGTGACCCACCAGGGGCTTGGGGGCAGGAGAGGTGCTGGCCTTGGGGGGCTCGGCCTTGGCAGGGACAGGTTGGGGGTCATGGAACTGCAGGGGGGGTGGTGGGGGCGGGGGGCTGAGCGGAGGTGGGGGGATGTGGTCCGACAGCGTGGAGTAGGTGAGGGAGCTGCCCTCATCACTGCTGCTGATGTACTCGCTGCTGCTGACATCGTTGGTGACATAGCTGCCCTGGTCATCGTGGAAGCTCATCTGGGGGGAAGAGGGGAGCGGATGAAGGATGCTCCCAACAGCCATGGTGGGATGCTCCGAGCCCCCGTGGAGAAAGGCTGATGGAGCATTTCCAGCACCACGCTCACCTCCTCGTAGTCATTCTCAGGGGTGAGGAAATCATCCACGATGGTGACACGGTGTCCCAGCTGCTCACTGAGAGCGTCCAGGAAGCGGTCGGTGTCGCGGCTGCGTGGCGGCCTGGAGAAGGTGAAGAGCTTCTTGCGCCGCGACAGCGGGCTGAGCGGGTAGGGCCGGTGCTGGGGGGACGGGGCCGGGCTGCTGTCCAGGCTGACGTAGGGATTGGACTCGGTGCTGCTCGGGGACTGCAGGCTGCTGTGCAGGCGGTAGTAGCACTGCTGGGCGGCCAGCGGGTCGCTTGGCCATGAGACGGGCACCCCTGATCTGCGGGCACCTGCGGGACAGGGCGCTGCCGGGCGGTTCCTGCTGCCGCTGGAGACCCCCCCACGTCTGCCTCTCTCCAGAGCTGAGGGAAATCGGGCGCTACCTGCAGCATGCGCCGGGTCGGGGGCTGGGGTTGATGCGTGGTGCAGGGCAGCATTGCCAACCTTGCTGGAGAAGCTGCCCAGCAGGCGGTTCTCCAGTTCTGCATAGACAGCCGACATCTGGGGGAAAAAGGGCAAAGAGCTGCTGGAATCAAGACCTGGCTTGCGACACACCCAGGGACCTGTGATGTCCTGGGAACAGGGCATCCACCATGGACTCAACCACCCCCATCTCTCACTCTGTAGAGGACTGCACCACCCAGACCTGACGCTCCTTAACCTTTCCCGAAGCTCCCCCACCCAGCAGCCTCCCCCTCGCAGGGTTGCAACAGACCCCCACATTATTCAAGCTGATTGCCCAGAGAAGAGCCTGGAGGCAGGGATACTGCCAGGCATGGACAGCAGTGCTGCTATGCTGACACATCCCTCCTGCTCTCCCTTCTATCTGCTTTCCTATGTTTACATGGAAGGGATCTGGTGATGCTCCCTGTGAGAGCAGAGATCCCATGCTCCAGGGCAATGCTGCCCACAGGTGGTGCCCGCACCATTTTGGGGTTGGGTGTCTCTGGCAGGGACGTGCCATCGCCAGCCTGCCTCTCTCCAGGGATCAGGCGAACTGGGACCTCCACGGTGTCACTCTGCCCTGCTGGGGAACAGAGACAGAACTGTCAGCAGCCCATCCTGTGCATGCCTCCACAGCCCTGACCCATGAACATTCGTGTGCTCGTTTATAAAATGAGAGTATTTTGCATTTCTCTGACCACCCAGCTGGTAGGCTTGGAAGCTTCCTGTGAATCCTCAGCACCTGAGCAGTGCTGTGGTTGTGCTGTGGTTGCAGATGAACCTTGCTCAGCTGGACAGTGATATTAAAGAAGAGTCATTACCCAGTGCACGCTTAGGAGTTTGCACAACCACAGGAGGACAGAGCTTTCAGACAAAGGGGGATATGTGGGTTTTCCTTTGAAAAGAGGGATAGTTTGAGCCAAGAATGGATTTCATCAATAGCCACAAAGTGCCATTATGATTTTCTCACAGTGGTTTCGCAGATGCTGTTCTGCCTATGAACTCGGTGCTGTCTGACACAGCTCACAGGGAGCTACAGTCTATGCTCCCAGAAGGGGGAACCAGCAGCACTGGGGAGATGCGCATCACCCAAGGGGAGGAATGATTTTGGTTACTGCAAACCCCACGGTTTGCTTACCCTTGCAATTCACTTCTGAGCAATACAGGGGACTGGAAACAGTGTTCAGAATCAGCCCAAGAGGCTTCTTATTGGACCTGCATAACTTTCAGAAATATGGACTTCCAAAGGCTCCATCTTCTCCCACCAACTGTGCCCAGGTCAGGATGTCAACATGGCCCAGAGCACCAGGGCACAGTCTGCATGACCCCAGCCCCACAACACCCACCTGCAGCCCCTCCTTCCTCAGGGCGGTTGGTCCGGAGGCTGCTCCTGCACAAGGATGCCCCTCGCACTGAGCTGCGGTAGCGCTCCTCTGCCTCGGGCTCAGCTGCAGCAGAAAACATAGTGGTGAGACATGCACAGACCCACCGGACCCCCCCGTGCCCCACTCCTTGTACCAGGGCTGCCCCCAGCCCTTTGGCAACAGCTATGCTCACGGCTTTCCCCATCCACAAGCTGCTGCCAGGAAGCAGAGTGAGTTGCAAACGCAGATGCAGAGTAGAGTATTGCAATTGCTCCTTTTCCCAGCAGGATTGGTGTCCAGCTGGTCCAGAGGGGTGCAGCAATAACCACCTGCCCTTGACGGACACAGGGCAGTGGGAGCCGTGCTGAAACATTGCCCAGGAGAACCATTCCGGTGGTGGAATGGCTCAGAGGCTCAGACTCACAGCAGGACGGGGATGCTGGAGCGTCAGTATGACAGGTGTCCCATGGACTGGTGTTCAGGCAGACCAATAGACACAGGCATCAGAGATTGCCACCGAGTTTGGAAGAAGCCAGGAGGAAGAATCACCCCAAATTCATGGATCCCTGGCCATGCTCCCACACATGGACACACATCATGAACCAGAACAAGCAGCACTCACAGACTGCCCCTTGCTGCCAGGGTGGGAGCCAGGGAGCAGCCTGCAGTGGAGGATGAGTCCTGGGGGACACAGTGCCATCCTCCTCTGCCAGGGCTGGGGGAGGCTCACACATTGGCGCTCCTGGCACACAGCTGCCAGCTGCACACACATTAATTTCTCCCCAGATCTTCAGAAGTTCATAAACTCCATTTTTAGGATCTGTGTTCTTGGGAACGTACAGCAGTTAGGTACACTGGGACACAACAAAGCAGTGGTAACTGAGACTGCAAACTGGGTGAGCAAATACCCATTGCCTGTCAGTGCATAGCAGGGGTATTTGCAGCAGGACTGCTCTGCTGTTCCCCCTGTGAGGGGAAAGGCTGTGCTAAAACAATGATGTTGTCCCCAAAGCCTCTCTCCTCACAACACCTCTTTCGTGCCATTTTACTGACACCGAGTCTAAAATAAACATATCAACAAAACACTAATGCCCTAGAGTAGAAGAATTTGGAAGCAATTAAGAAGCTCAGATTCAAAGATTAAAACGTTTCAGCCCAAATTTGCCCTCCCCTTTCCGCTGTCTGAGTGCAAAGCCCATAATCCCACCGAGGCACAGCTGTGTGCTGCTGCAGCAGTAAGGGATGGTGACAGCAGCACATGGCCGCTCCAAGCCAGCACTGTTGGGGTGAGACTTCATCCTGAGTGCTCACTGCAGGTGCTATGCATGGCTGCAGGCATCCCACAGACTCCACTGCCACCATTGCTCATTCAACTGTTATCTGAACACTGCCCTTCGAGCACCAATTCCTTTTGGAGCTTCCTAACAGCCTGAGAGCTTCTGGCACCCTTTGCTCCCAGACCTCTGCAACCAAACCACTGCCACATTTGCTTTCAATGCAATTGCCCTTCCAAAACTATACAAACAAGGAAAAGAAGTAACCTTCAGCCCAACATTCACAGAGGAAACCCTTGTTATTAGCAGGAGCTGGAGCACAGCAGCAGCTGCACTGAGCAGCACACACTCCCTGGGCACATCCTTGCTGGAGCTGGAGCTTTCCTCTCACCTGCCAAGGACTTGTAACCAAGAAACCTGGCAATCTTTTGCTGGCAGTGCTCCTGCTCTTCGTACGTCAGCAGCTGGTAGATAAACTGCCAAATGACTTGCTTGGCTGGTGTGTCCAGCACCGGGTACACATCCACAATAAGAGTGTCAATGTTCCTGCAAAATGGGAGAGAGAGGGCTGGGCAGTGAGTGCATCCTGAGCTGCACAGCCCCAGCACACAGCTTTGCACCTCCCGATCTGCCTGCAGCTCAGCTGCTGGGATTGCCTCATCATTGGTGCAAGCAGCCCAGGTCATCTACAAGCAGAGTTGTGGGCAAGGAACAGATCCTGGTGGGAGAGATGTGGGGGAGTGGGGATGTGCAAGTGGGGCTGATAGGGACAGCAATCTGCAGGGTCTGGCAGCACCTGGCAGCCAGACCATAAAGTCTGCTGTGGGAAGCTGTGTGTGTATGGGGCAGCATGGATGGGTTGTCTGGCTGGATAGGTGGATGGATGGATGGATGGATGGATGGATGGATGGATGGATGGATGGATGGACGGACGGATGGATGGATGGGTGGATGAGCACCAGGACATAGAGGTGCTCTGGTAAGGCCTGAGGTGTGGACAGCTGGGATGAGGGCTGTGTACTATGCTGTGTGGGGTGAAGGTGGTACAGGGCCTGCTCAGGATAATGGGGCTGAGTGCCCGATGTGGTGAGGAGGGTGAAACACCCAGGGAAAGAAGGCTGTCCCAGAGGGACTGGTCTCTAAGAGCTGGGTCTCAGCTGAGCAAGGCTGGGCCACAGCTAAGGTCAGGATGTTTTTCTACTGAGAAACTCACACAGAAAGCAGTGGTTAAAGTTCACTGCAACTGTTGCAGCCTTAATATAGAAGCAATAGCAAGAATTCCATATAGAAAATTTTGTATTCAGGACTTTGCATGTAGGAACAAATCTGTTGTCTTGATCAGTGAACTCCCTCAGGTGTGTGAGGAAGAACTGAAGGATGACAGTGATTATCTGCTAAGCTGCTCTCTATGTGTGGGTATTCTGCCTTTTCTGTGATGCCAGACAAAGCACCACCATCCTGACTCCCTTCTGTGCTCACTGCTGGGCAGTGCTGCTATTTGCAAGCAGCAGAAATGTCATGTTGGGGATTTCACCTGCCCTTACCAGAGCAGGTACAGGTCACAGCTGGGGCAGGCACACTATTAGGTGATGGACTGGGGCAGCTACGGGCAAGATGATTTGGTTTAGGGTAGCTGAGCAATTTGTTCTGAGTGCTCAGATTCCATCCAGGTGCTTCCAAGCACAAAACCCCCTGGGCTGGGTCTTATTTTCCATCTGCAGGTGCCAGAGGCTGCAACCATGCAGAGGGGAATCCTGAAGGAGCAGAGCAGTCTCAGGGGGGCTCTAAGCAATGATTTCTGCTTTATCCCCGCAGTGTGCTGACTGCTGGTCCCCAGTGGGTTCATTCAGCTGGTGCTGGGGGATTCCAGCAGCTCAACTCAGCACCTGCAGCTCTGGGTACAACTATGGTCACACCAGGTTGGTGCAGCCCCAGCAATGCTCCTTGGGAGCTTATTGCTGCCAGTGACCTAAATACAGAGGGGTTTGTTGCATTTCATTGCAAAACAGGATTGAGATCCTTATCTGTCTGTATGGAAACAAAGTGCTACATGAAAGCATCAGGACCTGCCTGGCTCTGAGCAGCGCATCCCCAGAGCAGGTGCTGAGCAGCTGTGGGAAGGGGCATTGAATATCTCCCAGTGCCCCGAGAGATGGTACGTCCCTGCTGGAAGGCTGAAGATGAAGGGCAGAGAGCAAGGTTGCTATGACACATCCTGAGGCTGGGTTTCAGCTGGGTACAGCTGTGGGATGAGGACTCTGCAGCTGTTCTGCTGCCAAGAAATGCTGAGAAGAGCAAGGAGTTGGGAATGGAGCCCGGTGAGATCAGAGAGGTGGAACAGAACCTACAGCCATCGTGGGGACTGCCAGGCAGCAAGAGAGCCTGTGCTGCAGGGGATGAGGTCACCGTATGGCAGGGGGACAGGAGGTGACCGTGCTGCCCTGTCCGCGGGCAGGACACCTGGTGAGGGATGGGTTCCTGATCAGCTCTTACCCTGAGAAAAACGCACAGCTGGAGAGAGCAGACAGCAGAGCCCGGCTCTGAGCCTGCGGGCTGAGGGCTGTGCTGCTGCAGGACTGTCCCTGCTGTGGCCATCGCTACCGGCGCTAAGGGAACGGCACCGCTAAGAAGTTACCGATGTTGGAAGAAGCTCTCCAGCGCTTTGCAGATGGTATAGCGCTCGGGTGGGGTGAGCAGGTGCTCCAGCTGCTGGTTGAAGGTCCTCCCTTGAATCTTGATGCTAGAGGGGAGGATCTCTGCCACCCACTGCAGGGAGGTGAGCGCAGAGGAGCTGGTCGGGGAGTCGGCAGAGTCAGAGTCTGCAAGGCGCAGGCAGAGAGAAAAGAGAATTCAACAGGCAGAGGGGTTGGCTGAGGTCACAGCCCATCCTCTGGACAGGGCAGGAGGACACTGGGGCTGCTGTGTGCCCCCGGGAGCCTGGAAACCAAGCAGAGAGCAGAGCCGTGACCTGCATATGGGGGTCCTGCACTGCCCTGCCTGCACTGAGCTGCCTCCGAGCATGGCATACAGTCTGCTTGGCCTTGTCGGGGTCTCTCAAGCCAATACCTGTGTTCCCAATCCCTGCCTGAGGCTCAGACTGCTCACATCTGCTGCACCTCTGTTCTGCAGCTGAAATCCCTCCAATGTGGAGCACAGGCATCTCAGCTCCACTGAAACACAAATCATGGTGTTCCGGTGCAGGGGTGGTTACCCCAGGAAAAAAAAATGACAGATTTTGGCCTCTGGGAAGCAGCGTGATGACAGGAATGGTACTGACACAGGGCCGCTCACTGTGTCACCTTGTCTTGGCTTCTTTCATGGGGCTTTGAGTGCCACTGCTGTGCACTGATGAGCACTGAGGCTCCTGCTGTTGTTTCTAGGGCACATGCAAACGAGTGGGTAGCACAGGGCTGCCAACGTGAGGCTTGGGGGAGCCCTCACCGCTCCAGAGGGACAATCCAGTCACCAGTTCCCAGTCCTATGCATCACGCAACAGCACCACAATTACACACTGCCCCTCTCCCTGCATTGGGAACGCGGCACTGTGAGTTCTGCAGGACCGTGTTCCTGCACCTCACTGCAATCACTGACACAACGCACCGCCTGCTCCCTCCGGCTCGCTCCCAGCAGCAAGCTGAATTATTCATGTCAGCAGTTCTGCACAGCACAGTCCACACACAGCCGTGATAGCTGCACAGCGAATATGGATGCACGGGATTGGATTACTCCAGTCAAGTACGCAGCACAGACTGCATGTGAAGGACACTGGAAAGGGCTGTCAAGGACGATCACACAGTGCAATGAGCTGCTGGGCAGCGGCCAAGCCCAGGATTCAGCCTGACCACAGAAAGCCGAGGAGCAGCCTTGCAGGCAGTGGGGAGCAGCATCCAGTGCCATCAGTGCCCTGAGCCCACGGGTGTTGGCAGCTCCCCCCACGGGCACAGGGAGTTTAGGAACTCCTGAATTTGGGGTTCCTGACCCTCAGGGCACCCCCTCTGCAGCACACTTACCGCTGGAGAAATTGACGATGCCCTCTTCCACCACCAAGGTGGGCATCGCCCCGCTGCCCTGCAGCATCGACACCACCTTATCATGAGAGCAGTTCCTGCAGAGCACAAAGATCTGAGTCAGGGCCACCCCATTCCTTGCAGACACATAGCCCCTACCGTGCCCTGGCTGCACCTCCCTGGCTCTCTTCTTGCTGGATCTCAGCTGTGCTGTCCGGGGATCACACTGCATCACCACATCCACAGTGAGCAATTGGCATGGAGTGTGCATCCACAGTAAGCAATGGGTGTGGGGTGTGCATCCACAGCCCCAGCAGGTGAACTTCACATGTAGGCCATAGCACTGGGGGACTCTGCCTGTCCTAACTCTGCATGGAGAGGATGCGAAGTGGATGGGAAATACATCCCTGGGAAGGGCACGGGTTGACCCGGAGCACTGCCGCTGCAATGTAGGCTCAGAGAACAGCCTCTGGGTGGGTATGCTCTGTTCTGGAGCTGCTGCATCAGCCAACAGTTTGCTGGATCAGCTGAAATGTGAGAGCCTGAGCACTGCCAGCAGCAGCATCAGATGTTTAACCTTTAAATATTCATCACACTCTCTTATCGTGTAGCCCATCCTAACCCTTTGCTCTTGCTTCTCTTTGCAGAAAGCCCAACCTGGTGAAATACAGGCTGCTGCCACAGCACCAGTGATGTAGAAGGACAAGCAAGGCTGGGCTGAAATACTCCTCTGATACTCAGTTTTCATGAAAGAATATTACAGGAGGCGTCTCTATGGGGTGACATCCCTCCCATCCCACAGCAGATAGCTCTGAAGGATGCTCATCTCTGGCTCCTATTCTGTGAGGGTGTGTAATGAACATCACTGTGCTCACTCCCACAACAGCACACTCCTTCCAGGAGCCACTTACCTCATGTCCAGGCCATTAAGAAATAGGATTCGGTCTCCAGGTTTGAGTGCAGCCTTCTCAGCCGGACTCCCTGCAGGCAGAGGGAAAGAGTGGGGCTGCAGCTGCTGCCCCTGGGCTGAGGTCTCTCTCATCCCTTCTGTGCCTTCTGTGCCCAAGGGCAGGGACCCTGCAGCCTTGTAAAGCTCCTTTGCTATTTTCTAGCAAGCAACAAACACTTAGCACTTCTGTTTCAGGCCATATAGCTGGGTTGGTCTGAGCCTGGTGGCCAGCAGGATTCTTACCTGGCAGAACGGATTCAATCCACACTGGTGCATGTCCGCGCAGTGTGAAGCCAAAGCTTTTGTTGCCTTTATAAACTCGCACTGTCCTGCAGGTAGAAAATCAAATGTGACATCAGAACACAACAAACGTTGGGCTCTTGTTTCCTTCCACAGCCCCACTGGCGCCCCTCTGTCTGGGTACCTCCTGCATTGCTCACTGAGTCCCTTTGGTGCCTTCTGAAGGGACACCCCTTGCTGACCCCTGGGACAAGGACAGCGTGCTGCCACTGTGGCCACTGAGCAGATGGGGTCTCTGCTGGGACCTTTAGATCCAGTTACGGCTTTTGCAAATTAAAGCTGAATGTATATTAATATGAAGGCTGCAGCACAGGGGAGGCGGGGACGCTGGAGATGGGAGCTGGAGGAACAGAGCCTGTGAGAATTGATTGATACTCTATTAATTACTGCATTCATAAAAACACAGCCCAGGGCTCCAAATCAAATATGTTTTTAAAGTGAAGCATGGGTTATAATACATTACATAGAATAAGAGAGACTGGGGGGCAAAGAGCCCAAAGACTGATGAGAAAAAAGTGAAATTCAGTGAGAAAATGTTGGAAAGAGCATCAGGAAATCCTCCCACTGAGAGCTTCCTGGGGAAGGTGACAGCACTGAGACCATTCACAACCAGGAAACTACTATAGGGACCAGCTTTACACTGGCAGGGAGAAAGCTGGAACTGAATTCTGGAAGTGTCACAGCAACAAATTTTCCTCATGCGGAGGTGTGCTGTGGCCAAACACCCTGAGGGTAACAGATGGAGGCAGGGGAATGACTCGGAGCAACCACAGTGGCACAGGGCCTCCCCAGGAGCAGTCCCTGCCCCCCAACAGACCCTGTCCCGCTCTGCTTCTCTGTGAGATGGGGCTGGGAGCACAGCAGCAGTCAGCGCCAGCGCAGCAGGGCAGCTCCATGCTATGAGCTGCAGGGGTCTGGCCATCTGGGCAGCGGGAAGTGGGTTAATCCCCTGCGCAGCCACGTCCTGCCTTCCTCCTGCTGCTGCTGCCTGGCACCCAGACACCGCTGGGGCAGGGCAGGGGGACATGCACAGCCTGCTTGTGCTTGGCAGTGCTTGCCATCGGAGTGGCCAAGCATCCTGCATCCCAGCCGACGTGGCCAGGCATCCTGCAACCCACCCAGCATGCCACCATCCCTTCAAGCCTCTGAGTGCCAGCTCAGCTCCACACACAGCTTTGCAACAGCAAGGGGATAGAAAAGGTGACCTGGATCCGAGACATGGAGTGCAAACTTGCCCACCCTTCAAGCAGGAAGAGTCTGTGCTCAGCCTCCTCTCAGGAGGATTTCACCCATCCTCTGCACAGAAGACATCCCCATTCCCAGCATCTCCCCCATGCTGCCATCCACACCAAACACACCCAGGCAGCACTCAGGAGCCGTGTTACCTGCGGGCAGCCCCCGAGGCCACATTGCTGGTGATGAGCGAGGTGGTTTTCCGCAGGCTCTTGCTGAGCTCCTCATGGCTGCGGGGCACAGAGCTGGCGCGGGTGGACACGAGCAGCCGCTCCTGGTGGTCCTCGCTCCGGCTGCGCCGCAGGCGGTTGCTGTGCTGTTCACTCTTGGAGCGGCACAGCTTGCTGATCAGGCTCTGTGACACCACCTCATCAAAGCGCTGCCGGTGTTTTTTGGGGATGAAAATCCTGGAAAAAGGGCAAAGAGAGCAGAGAGTGAGGATGTGACTGAGGGGATGATAGCACAGCGCTCTGCATCCAGCAGTGGCCGGAAAGGGAGAACTCCAGTCCCCTGTGTGCCCTCAGCCTCAGCACTGCCTGTGAGCACCAGGAACATGGGATGCCAAGAATACAGGGACATGGGGGCACCATGAATGCTGGCTACATCTCCTGCCCATCTCCATGCACAGCTCCATGGGGTGAGGAGGTCAGAGCTCTCTGCAGCACAACGTTATGCAGAGACCAATCACAATAGCTCCATTCCTCCTTGATGCCCCTTTCCCAGACCCCTATTAGCTACTAGTCCTGGTGGGTCAATGGCAAGGTGCAGCTCAAGCCTTGCATGAATTGTTTTTCACCCAATTATGGCCCAGCAGCCAGCTCTACAGAGAAGACCTCTCTCTGCCTTCGTCCCTGTTACAGACTGCTCCCAAGGACCCTGGCAGACCCACACACACTGCAGGACCCCAGTGAGGTGCTCAGTGTCCCTGCACAGCCCTCCCTGCCCATGTCCCCCCTGCCCATCCCCGCAGCACTTGTCTGGGGTGTCGCACACCTCCCGCACTGCAACACATGGATATCTTTTCTTTCCTCTCTTTTTTCCTTTTCCCATCACAGCTGTGAAACACTGACACCCCATTTATCTCCTCCCACCTTTTCTATTTGCACATTTAGGGGCTTCTGGAGGAGCTGTTATCTCCTGATGTTTCTATAGCAACTCTCACTGTTGCACCCAAGCTGCATCTCACTGCTGCAGCTGTGCCCACCCCACATGCAGCACCGCTGGCATCGCTCTTTACTGCACACACCTCATCCCAAGGACATGCTCTCTACGTTAGCAAGGAGCAAGGATGTGGTCTCACCACCCTGCACCTCAGGACTGCATCTTGTGGGGTGGCTTTGACCCACAGCAGGATGCAGACAGCATCTGAAGAGATCTGGGCTGGGGGTGCTGGGGGGTCCTCAACCCTGGGGCATTTTCTCTAAAGGAATCTGAAAGCTAGGATGGAGCTGGAGGAGGAGCACAGATCCCGAACCTCTGAGACCAGGACACAGCTGTTTGCACCTAGGGAAAGGTTGAGCCCAATGGCACAGCCCGTGCCATCCTGCTGGGCCGGAGCAGGCAGAGCTCACCTGGTCCCAAGGCCGACAGATGTTCACACGTACTGCCAGGTGATAATTTAAAATTAGTGAACACACCAGCACGATTCACAGCCAATTTGTGATGAGGCAACAATGAGAAATGCAGTGAGAAATGAGCGCAATGCTGCTAATAAGCAACTCCTCAGCTGCAGGCAGGCAGCAGTGGCTGGGGCCAGGCTGAGCCCCACTCCCCTCCCAAGGGCAGAGATGCTCTGCTCTCATTTCAGCTGGACGAATGAGATCGGTCCCACAGCTTCCCGCAGGGCTGCCCCACTTTGCGGGGATGGTTCCTTTGCCTGTGGGCTGGTAGAAAGGAGAACGGAGCAGCAACACACCACGAGCTCAAAGCAGGCCCAGAGACACCTTTTTTTATGGACTGACTCAGTGCTAGTGGTGAAACTTGGTGCTATCAGGGAAAGGAGCTTAATGATAGTAATAATAATCCTAATAAGTGCAGAAAAGGTTTTCTTCTTCCAAAAACCTTTGCAGAGTATCCTTGGGATAGGCACAGCACTTCTCAGAGACCTGCAGGGAGGTGTTTTAGAGCTTCAGTGGCATGCAATGTGGTGAGTGCTCAGATCTGTCCTTAACAAGTGACCCACCATCCAGGCACAACATGGGTGGTATTGGCTGATGTGACACCAGCACTGACCTGACTTCCTCCTTCTCTTCCTCCTGTGCTCTGTCAGCACCGCCCGCATTCCCTGTTGGAGTGCAGATGGGTGAGGTGCTCCCAGCCCTGGGCACAGTGACTCTGCCAGCACCCAGCCCTGCAGAGTACTGCCAGCCCTTCTCTGTCATACCAGGACACCTTCATCAGAACTAAGTCTGAATCAATACAAATCGAGGGCATTTTCCAGGCCAGGAGATGTCCCCAAGGGCCACGTGCTCCCACAGGGCCAGGAAACGCGGCCGGCAGAGCCTGCCCTGCCTGTCCCCAGCTGCTCCGATGTTCACTTGGGCACAGCGTGCTTGGCACAGCTCAGCCTTTGTCCGTCTCATTCCTTAAAGCCCACAGAGAGCTCATTTGCAGCTTATTTCCTAATGGATATTCCCACTGCACCTGTGAGGGACTCCGTCCTGCCCCGCAGCCCAGCGCCCACCCCACAACCCAGGCAGTGCCTCCCAGGAGCTGTGGTGGGTGCTGAGCCCTGCGCCAAGCTCTGCAGCACGCACAGCTCGGTGCCCTCACCGCAGGCACCGTCCAATTTCAGCACCCAGCCACAAGCACTGCACCCCACAGCACCCCAACTCATCTGTGTGTTGTGTGCACAGAGCCAAAGCAGACCCCGATGAGCAATTCCCAGCCCCCAGCCCCAGTGTTCCTTTGAGCTTCGCCCCACGTTGCCCGGCTCCTCGCGCCCCTGGCAGCGGGGTCCCCTCGCATGGCCGTGCATCACGGGGACACCGCAGGAGCACGAGCCCCACACGGTGCACCCACCCTCAGTCACAGCACAGAGTGCAGACGTACCGAAAATGCCGAGAGAAGCTCCGGTCCTTCCCCATTTGTCCAAGGTGCAGCGGGAACAAAAGGAGACGCTTCAGCTCCGCATGCAGCTGAGGCTCAGCCCCGGCTCACGCCCACGACGCCGGCTCCAGCCCCGCACGGTGCCAGCGGGCACTGCCCCGGCACCCGCCGTGCACGCAGAGAGCGGACAGATGGGCACAGCCCTGTGCCTGCTTCTCGCCCCGCGCTGTGCCCAATGCTGGTTTCACTCTGCCTTCTCCCCAGTGCCAGCGCTGCCCCAAAACTCGGCTCTGAAGCCTTTTTGCTTTCCCTAACCCTGCGGTCTGTGTGATTTCTAGCTGGATCTCTCTGGGAAGGACGCTGCACAGAAAGGAGGGCACAGCTCCGCGCCGAACTCCGGAGGGATGCCTCGCTGGTGCTAATTAGTTGACTTCTAAGTGCTTCTGTTTAAATTACATGCTGCCGTAATGGGTGAGAAACCTTAAAGGCAAGCAGTGATTGCGCGGGTTCAGCGCTGCTTGCACATCACACCCGCTGGACCCATCCCTGCAGCATGGGGCCCGGCGGCAGCACCAGGACCCGAACCTCAGCTCTCCTGCAGATGTAGAGCACTGTGGAGCACTGCTTCCCCCTGGGGTGCCACAGCCACACTTGGAAGCAAGGATAGAAGATAAAACCCTCTATTTTAAATGCCACCGTCTTGAAACATGGTGTTTGATACAGAGGATGTGAGGCTTTTGGAGCTGAAGAAACGAGAGAATCTCCAGGCAGCAAAGGAGAAAAAAATGAAAAATGTATGGCTTTGCCTCAAAACAGCTATCAAAGAGCAGACCTTGACTGCATCCCTAGTGCAAAAGCATATCCCAGGGTGGATGAAAACACTGAGCAACATTGGGATTATGTCTAAACTGTGCAATAAAAATGGCTCGCAGGCCAGAAAACACCTCTGTCCCAAGAGCAAGCTGCAGTGCCCAATGTCACATGGGTCTGAGACAGAAAACTTCACCCATCCAACAGGAGTTATGGCATCACACCGATCTCAGAGCTCACCTACTTCTCCCCCACCCCACATATCTCTCCCAATATCTCCATAGTGCTCAGTGCTGTGACACCGGGTCAGCCGGGTCACCCCACACCCTGCAGCGCACACACAGCTGAGGGATGGCTGTGGCTGCCCCTGAACACAGAGCGGTGCATTCCCACCATGGATTTTCTGTGCACACAGGACTGCCTTCCCAGCCCTGCAGCCGATGGTCGATAATCGCTCACTGGGCCGCAGATGTGCCCACAGAGCTCATTAGAGGGAATGGGGTCCTTCCTCACCACAGAGCCACACAGCCCCTCCCAGCCGGGTCCACCCCAGGCACTGCTGATGATTGCTGTGTACTTCAGCCTAGGAACACCAGCACAAAACATTTTCTGTGATCTGTTTGAGATCCCAAGCACATCTCAGGTCACAGAACCGCTTTACAAAACTGAAGTTGCACATTGGTGGTGGTGTGAATGCAGGGAACGCATTACAGCAGCTTGATTTGTCAAAGCAAATTAGTCCCTTAACAGGAGATTCTGCACCACGGCCTTTTGGCCCAGTTGAACCTGACTGCAACCAACAGAACTCCGCTCCCAAGTGGTGCCCCACTGGTGGCACATTTTCTCCCTAACTCCTGTTTGGGCCATAGGACACGTGTCCAGCTATCAGATTAGGGATTTTTTAAAACGGAAGCAGCCGAGAGCCGCCTCCTCTCCTTCAATCACCTCCTGCTGCCCACTTTGTGGCAGTTCTGCCCTGCAGAGCAGCTCAGCACTGCTGCACCATGCACCAGTGGTGCCCCAGCCCCAACCAGAGCAAGAGCTGTCCGTGAGGGCATGCAGTCCTGGGGAGGGGGCAGACATGGCAGCAGCACAGTGCATCCTGTATAAACCCTGATGGATAAAATGAAATTTCTCATCCAGAGGTGGCCACAGATGGCTGCAGCATTTTAATACGGGGAGAAGCCGAGTGATGTTATTGCTGTGAAAAACAAGCTGGGACAAATAGATTGTCTTGGGAGCGTTATTAAAGTGAGCTCAGTGGAATTTCTCTGAGATGAGAGAACTCCCAGCGGGCAGCAGCGTTGTCTGTGTTGGGGATCAAAGGGGTTGCAGGCAGAACTGCAGCACTGAGAGTGACTGGTGCCCCCCCAGCAGGGGTTGGGAAGGAACAAACTGCATCGCTGTGCTCTCCTTGCAACAAAGCAAAGCAGAAGGACTTACAGGAGCCCCACGGCACGCAGCAGCCTGAACAACTCGATGGGTTCCTGCACCTGGGGTGTGCACCAGCATATGGGCACATCCCGCTGATCGCATCCAGGTTAATGGGGCTGTGCCTGTGCACAGGGCATTGGAGCTGGAGTGGCATGCACAACTTTTAGAACACTGAAGGTCAATGGGGGGAGTGGAAATCTGTGCTCAGAGCTCCACAGTTCTGTTGTCCATCTGTTTGAAACATGTTTCAAACCTCAGTGCCACTGCTGTGAGCTGAAAACAACACTGACATGGACACTGGGACACTGCTGGCGTGGGAGGAAAGGCACAGGGCACAGCAGACAGCAAGGGGAACATGGTGTTCTGCGAGCTTCTAACCTCTGAAATACAGCAAGGACCCTGCCTGCATCACTTGGCTCCGAGTCAACAACCCTGGCACTGCAAGGTGCCTGGAGCAGAGTCGGAGCAATTCTCTGCCTGAGCTGGAGACATCCCAGGAAGAAGAGCTGAACCCCAGTACCCACAGCTGCCCCCAACATCCCATGTGAGGCAGACATGAGGAGAAGAGAAATGAACCCCTGGGTCACAGCTGGGCTCTGGTGCCCACAGGTGACAGAGGGGCACAAAGTGAGAAGAGATCTCCCTCCCCCCCACTCTACAGAGCCTCTGGCATTGGCAGCTCCGATGCACTACGGCTGCTAAGAGTTGATTAACTTTTCACATATCTCCTTTTTGCAGCGCTAGATCCCGGAATTAAGCAGCTTTCCAACCGTTCCCCTCCCAGCCCCCTCGGATCCCAGGAAGGGTCCGTTGTTACTCACCCGAGGCAGCTCATCTTCCCCCTGCGCCGCTGGTGTTCATCATTCCTGGGCAGAACTACAATTGTGCACTTTTACTACAGCCACCAACCATATGGGCAGGGGATCTGTGCACAGGGAGGACCCGACGCAGCACGTGCATTATCCCTGCTATCCACAACCCAAAGGATGAAGAAAATGTCAGCAAATTAAAATCTGCGGGAGCTTAATTCTGGGCAAATGGGATGAAATCCATTTGAGCTGAAGAGGGAAAAAAAAAAAAAAAAAAAAAGCAACTCGAAAAAGCTCAGCCTGAGGACAGCGGGAGGAGGAGCGCTGCCTGCAGCCCCAGGTCCCAGCGTTGTGCTGAGCCTGGGGGTCTTGGGTTACACTGCACAGCAGCACAGAGCTGGGCAGGGGGATGCGCGGGGAAGGAGGAGAGTGGCAGCCAGGTCCCAAAATAAACACGGCGCTGCAGAAGAGATCCAATCAGACCAGCACCAGGGATGTGCTGGCTGCTTAGCTCTGCACGGCCACACAGTCATCCCCCGTGGGTCACTGTCACTGCTGCCACCGTGCACCCTGATGCAGGGCTCAGCCGGTCTGCTGGAACCCAGGGCTGGTGGCATGGGGAGCACTGGGAACCCCCAGCATCCCTGACATCACCCCCCAACATCCTCCCTTCCTGCCCATGGCACTGCTCTCACCTGCCCCATGCTATGGGAAGAGTTGGTCTCACTGTTCCCCCACCTGCTTCATAGGGCCGTGGGCTTGCACAGCCATGGGGGTCTGGGGCAGCGCTGCCATGGGGCTGAGCCCTGAGCCCTGTGGAAATAACCCAAATACGTTCTCAGCATCCTACACACCCAGCACACACAGGAGCTTCTCAGCACCTTTGGGTGAGTTATTAAAAGCACTAAAAGCTCTTGCTCAGCAGCAAACCTGCTTGATGCTGGACTCCAGGGTAAAGCAGCTCATGTTCTGCACAAACAGCAAACACAAAACTGCATGCAGCTCCCACCAGTACATCCTCAACTGGGAAACCTTGTTTCCAAAGCAACTTTTTTTTCCTTCAATTCATTTCATTAAGATTAGGCAGTAAATCTTTTCCCTAAGCTAAATATTTCATTTTCATTAAACTGAGATGAGCTGCCCGATTCACCATGCATCCTGCCCCAGCCCCAGTGCCAACCTCACACACAGCACGGGGGGAAAAGCACCTCAGGATGGGGACAGCAGCACCACTGCTGGGATGGGGATGCCCCAGGGAAAGCATGCCCATGGCAGAGGGGCTCGGGTCCAGAGGGAAATGGACAAAGCAGTCCCTTCTGTGGAAAAAAAAACAACAACGTATAATTCTCCAGGCGGTGGTTCCTGGTGCCCCTCTGTGGGTACCTCAGTGGGGTCTGATCTAGAGGTGCCAGGGGTTCCTGGTTTCAGAGGGCACCCACCCTCCCACTTCAGGACTCAAGAGCATGGCAGATACCCTGGCACAGGGATGTTGTTATGGTAACAGTAATATCTTGCAATTCCACTGATTAAAGCAGGAATTGGAAAGCCAGACCCAGAGTGCAGCCAGATGGAGACCTGATTCCCTAATGGCCACTGTCTCAGCCTGGCTGTAATCCCCACCACGTGCCCGCGTGCTGTCCCTGGCCCTATCTCCATCACTGAACACAAGAGCAGCACAGCAGCGCAGTCGCATGCTCAGGTCCCCATAACACAGACACTCTGCCAAGGCACAAGAGGTGCTGGGGACCATGGGGACCCCCAGCAGAGCAGTACCACGGCAGCCCAGGATGTGGGAGCTGGCCCCCAGCCCTGCGCAGAGCCCCCTGTCTCCACAGCCCTGCCAGGCAGGCTGACAGCATGGATGATGTCAGCCAGGCAGTACCTGATGCTGTCGATGAGGTGCTGGTGGGACTCCTGGGTGAGCAGCATGCACAGGGCACAGGCCAAGCACTCCACCCTCCGCTCGGCTGCGTAGTGCTTCAGCGCGGCGAACACCTGCTCCTTGAGCTGGGGCTGGTCCCCCAGGATGGCATCCACCTGCAGCACAGAACAAAGGGGCACTGAGAGGGGACAAGTGTGAGTACAGGGTACAAATCAGATCTGACTAGGAGCAGCATCCGGGCAAGCAACGGGAAGGGAAGCAGTGTGGCAAGGAAAGTGAAATTTTTGTCACTTGGCATCTCATGCACATCCCCAATTCCATTGCACTGCATGCCGTAAGCACTGCACAAGGGACGCTAGCATGATAAGCCCACAGGGTCACCAGGGCCACTAGGAAAGTGGCCACAGGAACCGTCCCCCTGCCATGGATGCTGGGTGCCACCAGCTTGGTGACAGCCACCACGTGCTGTACATTTCAAGGTTACTGAATCTGGGACAGAACAGCAGCTGCTCCCTATGGATGGCTCTACACACTTTTCTGTCTCAAGGTCCAGCGCAGTGAGGACAAGGAATGTGGTGTTTCAGTGAGCCTAGTGCTGGGCCACTTCTTTTATGTTTTTTCCCAGGTTGAGGCTGAGATGCCATGCCCAGTGTGCAGGGGACAGAGGGAGACACTGATCTCAACTGAGACCCCAAGCAACTTTTGGGGATGGCCACATAGTGCTCAGCAGGGGCAGCCCAGCTCCAGCCCTACAAACACCACCTGGGCACTGTTAGAACAGACGCCGTCAGCAGGCAGTGGATCTGCACACAGGGCAGTGCCTGCAAACCCACAGCTCCATGCCCATCTGTGAGGCTGTAATTGGCATGCCGACCAAGGGGCTCTGGCCCACGGATCTCTTTAGGAATGCTTTGTTCCTGTATTAGCTTGGGATCAAAAAACACACAAGCCTGGTTATTTTCATAACAGCATTTTAAAAGGCTGCTTTGAAATGGAAATTAGAAAGATTAAAAAAAACAACTGCGATCAAATTCATAATTAGCGCAGGGTGATGTTTGGTAAATTACCCACTAGGCAGCATTCAGGAGCACAATGAAGATGTCACTGCAGCACTGTTTCTCCCTTTTCACGCAGTAGGACTGCATGGGGACGCTCAGGCAGAAGGAGGGCACTCTGGAAGTGTCGGTGTGGTCCCATAGAGCAAAAAGAACGAGCACCTGGGATCCACATCCAAGGCTCTTCATAGCGCCCATTTATTCCCTCAGCAATTATTGCAAGATGGGATAGTGTTGGACCATTCTCTCTGGAACTGATGACTGTAGAAGTCTTTTCCAACCCAAATATTCCTATGATTCCCATAGGCAGGGATTCCCATCAGTCTGCCTTGGGTGTTCTCGTGTGGGTGTGCCAGACACGGGATGTGAGGAGCGTGGTGCTGAGCTCCATCTGGGTGCCCCCCTCACACCCCATCTTTACCTTTTTGCTGAACTCCTGCGCTTTCTGCTTCCTCTCCATGCGCACAGCAGCAGCGCTGGGGCCGAGGTCCCTCTGTGGCCGCAGCAGCCCCAGCCGCAGCGCTCGCCTACTGCAGGATGCCAGCAGCTCGGCCGCCGCCTCGGCACTGCGCACAGCCACGCCATCCACCTCCAGCAGCAGGTCCCCAGGGGCGATGCCGCAGGTGGCAGCAGGAGAGCCAGGGGCCACACTGGCCACACGAGGGGGGCTGCCGCCCACCAGCTGCAAGCCCAGGTGTGGGACTGGGGGCAGGTCGGCACGCTGCAGCCGGGACAGCACGCCGATGCTGGGGGGCACAGAGCTGCAGCGCCGGGCTAATGCCAGCAACGCCGGGCAGCCCAGTGAGGCGACGGGTTGCCCCTCCAGCTCCAGCACCTCGTCGCCTGGGCGCAGCCCTGCTGCTGCTGCACTGCTGCCATCCTGCACCCACAGCACGTAGCAGGGCCCGCTGCCACCCAGAGAGAAGCCGAACGCCTCTGGCCAGCCTTGGTTGGTTGCCGGCATGGCTGCAACTGCAAGACACAAAGGGGAGGCGGTGGTGTGGGAGCATTCCATTCAGAGTGGTGCTATGACCCTGCACCCTGGGGCACAAAATGCTCCAAGAGGGGAAATTTTCTTTTGTATTTCCCCCCAAATGGTTCTTATTCTCCCACGGTCAGCAGTGAGGACGTGGCATGCACCCAGCCCAGTCCAGGGAGTGGAGCAGGGCACCTGCTGTGTGTCCTCCCAGGCCCCTCAGGTGCTGCTGCAGTGCACGCACATTTGCTGTCTGCTGACACTCGCTCAATTAATTTGCATGCAGAGCTTCACTTCATTTGATCTCAGCCGCCTGAAGATGCTTTTTATTCCCATGTTTATTCCATCCATGTTACTTAACTCACATTAAGCGTTTACAAAAATGAAACAGACTGTTTTATCTGGGCAAATTATCTTAGGGAAACTCTGCAGACTGAATCACTCTGAAGCGTCACTGGGAATGCATTCTGAGTTTCTTGCTCTGCAGATTGAAATGACACAGCAGGCGCCATCCTCATCAGGAAGTGCTAAAAAGGACCAAATGCTCTGTGGAAACCAACACTAAAGGTAATAACCGTGCCCTCCTCCACACAGTGCTGACTGCATTACAGCAGGGCTGATGGCCATGATCACATCATCCTTCCACCTCCACATCCTACTGCTACAGCACTTACAGAATTCCTCTCCAGTCAGCCCAACAGGGCAGGTCTGTCCCACCACGAGGTCCCGGCGTTCCCGGCTGTCCTCCATCACCTGTGCTGCTGTGACACGGCCAAGCGAGGTCCCTGCTGGCCACTCCATGTCCCCATATACTCACGGCACAGCTGAGCCCTCCCAGGTGCTCCAGGTCGAGTCCGGGCACCCAGCAATGCTTTCCTTGCCTTTACTTCCCTCTGCCCTAATTGCCTTTATTGCTATCACAGGGAGAACTACGGATGGACCAATTGCTGCACCAGCCCTGGCTGAGCCTTGCACTGACCTCAGCCTGTAGCTCGAGGGGATTAGGGCCTGAAGGGAGGTACAACAGATTAGATCCCATGGAGGGTAATCCATTACCCACACTGGTAAATCTGAATACGGGCTGTGCTGAGCAGTGGGATGCAGCACTCTGAGCCCCTGGGGCTGGGATTTGGGTGGGAGCACTGCAGCTGCAGAGGTGTCCACCCCACGACCCACACCATGCTGCAGATCTGGATCTGGGCTGGCTGTGGGGTGCTGTTCGGGGCGCTGCCTCTACCAGGCTGCCAGAAGCAGGGCAGACCTCCTCACAACCGGGCACATCCTGAGCACAGACCCCATGCTGCCTCCAGCTCCCCCATAAGCTGCTATTTCTGATTTTCTCCTTTGCTTCCTCAGCACTTAGGGATCCCAGGGCTTAGCATGCTAAGAGGTTTTAGGGTATTACACATCCTGCTGCAGCACTAACAGGAGCAGGAGGCTGCAGAGGGGCAGCACACACCCATACAGTGCAGAGAGCCATCCTGCCTTCCTGGTGAGTGAATTGGAGCAGTTTCCCAGAAACCTGGGCTACTTGGGGTTAAGCAAATCCTTAAGGAAGGAAGCCGTAGAGCTCCTATGACTGCACACTGTGCTTTGCTCATCACTGCTGGTGTGCTGGGTGCTTGCGTGCTGCTACCTCAGTGCACTCCTGCAGAAGTGTCAGGGGTCTGAGCTGCTGACTGACCAACAGGCACAACTGTAAGAGATGTTCGTTCTTAATCCTTGCAAGAAATTAGTTGTGAGCTTCCAATCTAAATGTACAGATAGCAAGAGGTTCCTTGAAGATCTCCCAGACTTGGATCAGAAAAGGCTTTTAACTGATTTTCACAGTATTCAGGCTGAGTGAGCTCAGTGCTGAGGCTCACTCTATGGCTGAATCCTCTGCTGCTGTTTTTCTCCCAGCACAGCCCAGGAGGCCTGGGAGCAGAGCAGGACGCAGCTCTGCTGTGCACAGACATGGCACAGCCCCAAGTGTCCCAGGCAAGCACACTATTGCACCAAATATGTATGGTTCCTTCCAACATCAGCTGTACAGCTGTACCCAGAGCTGTGCAGAATGTGTGCTATGATCAGGAGGACAAAAACGGCTCTCGGTGACGACCCAGGAGTGCAGTGTGGGGCTGCAGATTGCTGCTCCAGGCTGCACTCAGACCCCAGCTCGGTGTGCTGCTGTAAAGGAGCTGACCAGGGAAAACAAGATCCAAACTGTGAAATGCCCTTCACTCCCCACAGCCCCTTCTGCCCAGCGCATTTCTCATCTCCCAGCACCCTGCAGCCCTTACCTGCGTGCCCGGAGGATCAGCTGGCAAAACCATCACAGCGCCGCGGAGCTTTGGATCGGTTACCTGGCAGCAGCACCTGGCTGAGTTCCTGTGGCAAACTATCCCAGCACAGTAACCCAATCGCTGTGTGCTGGCAGCAGGGCAGCATGGCCAGGCCGGGGTGGTTTCAGCTAACAGCCATGGGCAGCAGCCAGCACTGGGCTCCCACCCGCTCCCACCCAGCACAAGTACCTGATTTTAGGGCTGGTTCTTGAGAAGCTCCTTGTTGTTTTGAAGAAGAAGGCCACGATATATTTTATAATATGTTTTTAGAAATAGCTGATTTGAAGGAGTAAATATACCATATATTTTAGTAGTGTCCCTTTAGAAATACAGATGTTGAATTGTTGTATTGTGTGATTAATTCTTGCTTGCAAAACTGTAATAGCTTACAGGCTGTTTCTAATAGTTATGGATGTAGCATTATTGACTAGAAAGCATGTCATAAGGCTATTCTGTTTTATCAAGAGACCTTCAGCAAAAGAAACGCAGTGATGAGATGATGCGAGTAGGCTTATCAAACATCAAAAGAAGCCAGGGCCTCCACACAAGGCTGAATTGTTTCACTGTGGGAGCAGGTTGGGATGCAACAGGTAGACATCATACTCCCCTCTATCCTTATCTTCCAACACTCCAGTATATATCCTTAAAATACAGGTTGCCAAACTTATTTCTATCCGAGGATGAGCAGATGTCTGGAAATAATGGCCAAGTGCTGAGTGAGAAAATGTTATGATTTTGGTACCTACGAATTACTTACAACTGCTGTCCTCCTACTGAGCATGCATCAATGAAAAAAGTCCATATAGAGAGTGAGTGAGGAAGACTGCTGGATGAAGGAACAGTTGGTTGGACTGTCACGATGCTAGGAGGATGCCAGGCGGCAGAAGAGACTGTGGAATAGAAGAGTGGAAACCTCATAAACCACTACCTGAGATAGGTGTGTGTGTGTTAATTATCTCATGTGTAATTGATGAATATGTACCATATCATGGAGGAATCTGAAGTGCTTATGGTGGAAATACCCCCGGTGCTTCCCGGCACCGTGATAAGGAACACTGGCTGAACGAAAACAAAACTTTGCTGTTAAGTTTCTTCGATTCATTGTTAAACAGCAGTGTAACACTTGGAGCTCCGTTAGAAACCAGGAAACCAAATAGCCCAGAAGCAGCAAACGCGAGGGCTTTCCAGCAACCTCACAAAGCAGCGCTGCACCCGAGCGGGGCCACGCGGGACCGCGAGAACTGCACAGCGCTCTGACACGACAGCTTTCGCTTTCATTTCGCCTGCTTTCGTCCTCGCTTTGCTCTGCGGACACGGGACGAGGGCCGGGCAGGAGCTCAGCGCCGTGCAGCGCCTGCGGGCTTCTCCCCTCCGAAGCCGCCCCGGCACTGCGGGCGCAGCCGCCGCTTCCGGGTGCAGCCGAGCCGAGCCGAGCCGAGCCGAGCCGAGCCGAGCCGAGCCGAGCCGAGCCGAGCCGAGCCTCGGCCTCGATTCGCAGCTCCGGGGCGGCCGAGAATCTCGGTCTCCGGGTCCGGCGCGGCCCCCCCTGCAGGCTCGGCTCCGGCCCTCGGAGCCGCGCATGGACTTTCTGCCGCTCCTGCTGCTCTACCTGTGCCTCGTGCTCGCCGTCGCCGTGCTGTACTGCAGCCACGCGGGGAGCGGGGGCGGCCGCCTGGGCAGGGCAGCCCTCAGTGCCGGCCAGGTAAGGGCTGAGCACGGCGGGGGGCTCCGAAGCGGGGCCGTGGGGCTGGGGGACAGCCGTACACTGAGGCAGTGTGGGCAGGGAAAGGATACAGCGGTTATTGAACTTGTGCGGTTTATGAGCGTCTGAGCGGACTTTAATCCTATTGTGCTGCACAGACGCTCATCATCATGGAGAGAAATTTGTTTCCCCGCATTTCTTAATTGTATGAAACGTAGCGATCAGCAGCTAATGCGCTGCTGTGCTGCAAGCTCCCCGTTTGGAGGAACGCGATTGATACTGGTGTGCGTGAAATAAAGACAGGTAGCCCTAAATAGTGTCTCTAGGCACTTTATCTTTTCTGTATCTGGCCCTAATGAATGTGGTGTGTAAGTCTGGAAGCGCATTGCCATCGTTTGCTGCACTCCTTCAGGATCCTTTGCACTATTCTGTGTTAGGAAGTCACCCACGTGCACACAGCACAGCTGTTCCCAGCCCTGCAGCATCTCCCACCCGTCTGCTTGCTGAGCTCCAGTTGTGCAGGGCAGTTGTGCTCACTGTACAGCTCGCATCCCCTCATACCTCTGTCACCACCATGAGAGCTTTTTGCTTTGCCCTAGGAAATGTCTGAATTACAAGGAATGGATGTTCTGTGCGTGAGGAAGTAATGGGTTTGAATATAAGGTTAGGCTGTAATTAACACACGGCGGGTTTAGTTTCCAATCTGCAGTTGTGTGATAGGTTGTGTGTAGCTCTGTCTGCAGCGTGTCTCCTTGCTGCACTATGCAGTCTCTTTTAAAAAGACTTGTAACTAGAGCTGCTGATAAGAGGCATACCAGTTAAAAGAAAAATATTTAGCATCTTCTCAACTCTGCATATGTCTTTTGCCTTCTGGTCTTTCGCATCCGAGATAAAAAGCTGTGACTGTGTTTTCTTTCCCTGTCTGCTAGAAATAGGCTCAGCTGCTCTATTTCTTCCACTGATAAAGCAGAGCGTTGCTATAGAGATGTCATCTTCTGAGCAGCAGAGCCAAACAATTCCCCAGTCACACACAGTTGCAGAGGATCCCACTGAATGAAGACAGGCAGCTTTCTTCTTCCCCGTGTCTGGCTGTTTTTGAAATGCCAATTAGGCAGATGAGGAGCTGTCAAACAGAGCTGTAGCTGTAGCTGAAGGAACTGGGGTGTGTGTTGTTGTTGATTTGTTGCTTTGCTTTTTGGTTCTGTATATTTGATTGTTGATCTTTCTGGAGGACAGCAGGCTTTATCTCTTTGCTTATCTCCCCTTACATCTGTCAGATGTCCCAATGAAGCATATTGTAGTTCAGGAATTGCTCAGTTCTATCCCCTGCTTAGCCAGTTACACAGTCTGTAACCTGATAAAAGCTCCTTATAACTTTCACACATTAACCCAGATACATTTGTTTGTGCCTGCTGGGCTTCCAAGAATGTGGAACCTCTCTTCCCTTTTGAAAGCCCCAGCAACATGCCTATCAGGAGCTCGTGTGCCCCCAGAAATGAGCATCCTCCCTGGTGATATGGCTGCAGTGATCTATAGCTGAGGATTTTGTGATTTACATTTTTATTTGAACAGTGCACAAGGCAGAAGTGGTGTTCAATTCAGATAAACACAGTCTTTTTATTTTCCTCAGGTGCTGTCATTAGTAATCCCCACTCGGCTCCAGAGTGTGACACAGAAGGTGCTCCTCAGGCTCTTCCACACACGGTAATCCACGTTTACCTCATGCTTTTGACATTATTTTTTGCTAATATTTCTGATTACTGTTGGTGTCCTGTTAGTATTACCCTTAGGTGTTCTCTTTCCATCAGGAGTGCATGCTGGGATTACAGATTCCCATTAAGGTTTGCCAGGCTGTTGTCTTGCTGTTATTTGTGCTGAGAAGATGGTACTCTGAAATATCTGAACGTATTTGATGAATAATGTAGCTCAGCAGCTTCCACTGTAACAGATGTTGATCACACTGGTGGTAAACCACATCCATGGGAGAATTACAGCAAAGTCCCTGGCAGCTGCAGAATGAGTTCAGGCAGAGCTTGCTCTCTGCCCCTCAAATCCCATTACATCCAGCAGCCTGGATGTGCAGGTGGCTCACAGGAAGCTGCCAATGTCTAGCCTGCTGGATTGAGGTGAATTTAGCAGTGTCGTGTAAAATCTGGTGCTTTAAGATCTGTTTCAGAAAATTCTTAAATACTCATCCTGTGGGGGCACCAACTCAAATATGCCAGGTAGTTCAGGGGCATAATATTTACAGCTGTTGAATGCACACCGCTGTTGTTTGTTTCCTGCTGTGCAGATTTTCTGGTGTTAGTTAACACTGCCCTAGAGAGAGTGGTTTCACTGTTGAATGTGCAGTCAGCAACAGAGCAATTATCTAATGAGCTTGGTGTAGCTGTCAGTGCTAGATTACGATTTGTGCTGGAGGCACTTTGATCCTTCAAGCACACTGTTCCACTGCATCACCTCACTGTGTTTCACAGCAGTACACAGCAAATGTATTTTGGCAGAATGTTTTATAGCCTATTGCTATGGCATGTTTTGGCAGCATCAGGGGACTGTGAGACTGCCCTTGACTAGCTGGTGGAAACTAATCCAAAGGATGTGCTGATAATGGATGCGAGTTTAGTTGGCATATTTAAAGGAGTGTGAAGAAGAGAAGGTGGAGCTCCTGGGTGGAGATAACACTTAATATGCAATCTGTGCTGGCTTGAAAACCTGAAAGAGGTGTCTCCTTGCATTTGGAAAGTCTTTGCTGAGCCTACTTGATCTGTTGATCAGCATGCTTAATATTAACTAGACCATCTCCTTGCTGTTGCAGAAACTATTTGTTTGTTGTCCTGCACATAGCCTTGCAAGCAGCAGTTTATGCTGAATACACATGGGAAGTGTTTGTTTACTGCTGGGAGCTGGAGTTCCACCTCGTGCTGCTGCTGCTGCCCTACCTGCTGCTGCTTGGGAACATGGGCTGCTTCATTCTGTGTTCCTGTGCCAATCCTGGTAAGCTCATGCTGAATGTGGGCTGTGGCTGTGTGAAAATAGAACCTTGCTAATACCAATACTTTTACTTTTTTGTCTTGTTTCTTTCACAGGTATAATAACAAAATCAAATCATGCATCACTGATGAAGACTTATGCATATGATGGTGCATTATTTCAGGAAGGCATTGTGTGTGCTACGTGCAACGTGGAAAAGCCAGCCAGATCAAAACATTGCAGTAAGAACTTTAACTTCCTTGACAAGCAAAATAATACATTTCCAAATTAATTCTTTATCAGTAATTGCAATTCATAGTACATCTATTTTATTATCCAGTTCAATGCACATAGAATTTTGTTCAGTTTCAGTAGGGTTCCACATCACAGCTGCCCTTTGCCCATTCGTGCTATTATTTGTTCTCACAGAAATGACCAGTTCTGAAGGCATCGCCTTGGGCCAGGGATAGACAAGCTGTTGAACATCTAGAGGTGAAATAAAAAATATTGTCTGACAAGAGTTCAGAATTTCTTGTTTTTCTGGCAGAATTTGCTGTTGTCATCATCATTTAAAATAAAGCAGGCTAGTTACAGTCTCTACCTGTTCACATGCTGTGTTAGGCAGTACTGCCAGAGAAAGCAAAATGCTTGAGCTGTAGTCTTGGTAAATAAAATTAAGAAATGAGGTACACATCTTTGTTTTTAGTGTTGTTTATTTGGTGGTAAGTAGTTGAATTTCCTTTAATTTACACTATCAGCTAAATCATGACTGCAATTCTCTCTTTTTTTTTTCTTGAATGCAAAGCTGTCCTACACTGTGTAAAAATTGAATCAGTCACTTAAAATCAAATAACTGACTTCTCTTGTTCACTTTTGATCAGGTTTTTGTGATGTCTGTGTACACCGTTTTGATCACCACTGTGTATGGGTCAACAACTGCATCGGTGCCTTCAATGCAAAGTATTTCTTCCTCTACCTCTTCACACTGACTGTGATGGCTGCAACCATTGCAATCATCACTGCAGCATTTCTCATCCAAGTGGTGCTGCTCTCAAATATGATGCATGGGAGTTACATTGATGACCAAGGACAGGAGCACGCTGTTGAGATTTTCTTTCTCATCCAGGTAAGCTTACACTGGCTGGGCTCTTAGCCTATAAAAAGATTTATCTGTGTCTTTGCTTATGGAGATCTTCAAGTCCACCTGTTCTCACAGGCAGAATGTAGTTAGAAGGCAGTTTTTTACTAACTTACACAGCTATTTAGGTTTAGAAAACTGAAGATTACTTTAACAATATGGGATTTTTCTGATAGCATTTTGTTCACATTCTCATTCTTTGGATTTTTGTGTCTCAACTGCTTTAACTCAGCAGATCTGATACGTGAAAATGACTGTATTCCAATGACCATCTATTTTAGTTCTGTTTAGGAAATGGCCATCAATCCTTGAGATAAGTATGTTAAAGTAGGACCCTTCTACCCTGGAATTTAGATCCTCAAACGTTTTCTCACACTTTTAAGCAAAGAGTGGCTGAGTCACTCTGGCACTTCACTCATTTTGCTTTTCATTCCCTTCATCCACTTCTGTAGTATGGCAGTGAGGTGATATGTAACAACTGCTTTATTCTCTTATGCCATGTGATTTAATAGCCCAGCTTTATAACCAAATCATTCTTTTCTTTTCTTTGCAGCACCTTTTCTTGACTTTTCCTAGGATTGTCTTCATGCTTGGTTTTGTTATTCTTCTCACACTTATACTGGGTGCATACTGCTGTTTCAACATATACTTGGCCTTAACCAACCAAACCTTCAATGAATGGTATAAATTCAGAAGATACAGGCATTCTCATCATCTAACATTGCAGCCTTGTGACAGAAAAGTTGTCTACAAAAATGCTTATGCTAAAGGAGTCTGGATGAATTTAAAGGAAATCTTTAAGTCTCCCGCAGTGCTGGAAAGAAAGAAGAAAAAATGAAGATGATACTCTTTATTGTTGTTATTTTTTTAACTTTTTGTAAAATGTGCTTTGATACCACAGGGAACTTTGTTCAAATAAGAAAAAAAAAACAATTTCAATTAGTTGGAAACTTTTCATAACGGTGATCAGTCTTCCAGAAAGAAAAAGCTGAAGCTCCTGCAAGTTTGTCTGTAACACTACTCAGATCAGCTGTGAAAGCAACTTGTTTGTCTTCTCAGACACAACTGCAGTCCAGAAGATTGCTGTACTTGAGTTAGGTTCAGCTAAGGTACATGTACACAATTAACTTTTATATATACACACACACACACACATGGTTACTGTTTGTATGCTGCAAAATATATGCCACGGTGTAATTGGCAAATGGAGTTCCTGAGTTACTTTAGTATATCTTATGTACATCTTCCTGCAGGAGACCTTGGAGGAACATAGCAATGCCACACATATGGAAGTGGTAAATGTCTAAATGCACTGATTTGTCTGTTACTTACACTGTGTTTGCTCTGCAGAAAGATCACAGCTGACAGCAATATTATAATTAACAGTCCCTTAGCAGAACTCTCTTTAAGTTACTCGGTGAGATGCTGTTAGAAGTCCTGGTAATGAACTTGCTGGCATGGAGGTGCAAGCCTGGACCAACAGACTGCAGTGAATCTCTCTGTGCAGTAGCAAGAGCTAACAAAGAGCTGTTGTGAGCTCTGACGAAGCTTCATCTTTTTGTGAGTACCTTTGTTTGGCCAATGTTTAACTTGTTACCATTATGTAGAAGGAGTTGCATATATTCAGCTAAAAAAACAGGAATGCTCAGATTCAGCAGTTAATGTTACACTGCAAATTTGAATGAGTATGGAACGCCTTACTTTCAGAAAGGAAGCTACAAGTGCTGCTCCTTAGCTGCTGAATCTCTTTTGATGCCCATTCTTAGCAATTTTACAAGATGCTGCTTTAGCATTACTAAAATGGTGGGCTTCTGATCAAATTTCAGCATCCTGAAAGAGTATTAAAAACAGTGATTGAGCTCTGGAGATGCAGGTTCTGGCAGATTACAAACTTAATCCTTCTGGTATTTTTCATTTTCATTTTGCTGCTTGAAATTGTGACCCTGCTGTAGGTATTTCTTTGCATTTCTGGCATTTTTCTGCAGTGGAAGTCAACAGCAGCTCAAGCTGTTTCTTGGGCTGCCCTCCTGCATTCACAAAATGGATCCCATTAGAAGTACAGCAGTAATATGAGTTTCCACTTCTGTACTGGGAATTCTCTAGGTGATCTTATCAGTGGACTTCCAAAAAAAAAACAAAAAAAAAAAAACCACTCTCTGACTTAACCATCAAAGAGAGAGGTAAATTTATGGCTATGAAAGTAACTTTCTATAATTCCTCTGACTGGAATTTAGCTGTAGATCACTTGAAAGATCTCCAAAAGCATAGATGCACAAATCTGAACTTGCAGAGATTTGCTTGGGATGAAAACTTGTTTTTGACTCACCAAAGGATGAGGGTTTCTTAAGCATGTTATGTATCCTGTTCTTTTCTCCTTCCAGAAATTGTTCTGAGTGATAATATAGCAGAAATAATAGGAAAAGTGTAGTAAGAACTTTAAATAACTTTATTTTTAAAAATGTATTTACATGCCTAATCTGTACAATATGCAATTACAAATCCATATATGGTTCTAAAAAATTAATGTACAATATGGCTTTACACACCAACAGACTAGCTCTCAGAGTAGCCTGTCTGGCTTTGCAAGGGTACAATGATGCGTTCTTTATAGACCAGTACATAAGGCTACTTGTCCAGGATATAAAATACTTTAAAAATAAAAATACTGCAGTACCATGCCTTAGGAGGAGTAAAGTAGTGAGGTTAAAGGCATGAAAGCGTTTGACTGGTGGTAAATGCACACCAGAACTCCTTAGGTTTGGTTTTCTTGGTTTGTTTTAAATGCATATGATTAATTTTAGTCATCTCTTATGAGACCCACCAAATGCTTCACTTTCTGAATCCTCTTAAACACTAAGATGCTACTGTCCTGTGGTCAGAGGTAAATGCTTTACAAAGGAATTTCCTTTATTTGAAGGAGCTGCATAAAAAACTGTCAAATGTGGCATAGTGGTCACTTTCAGAGTAAATCCATGCAGAGGGCTTTAACTACTGTCATTTCCATTTTAAACAGAAAACATCTCAGGGCTGTACCATCCTGTTAAGCCATTTACCTATGGAAGCACTCTCTTCCTCTCTGAACAACTGTAATGGCAAACTTAAGACTGATCAATCTCCCCAACCTGGAGAAAAACAGTAAGTTTAACTTACAGTAGCTGCATGCTGTTCATTACACAATCACAGTCTGGACTTCCACCTCCCCTTCCTGGGAGGCAATAACAAACTCTCCTGTATGTTCCATTATTTCAATGTCTTCTGATGCCACCATTGTCACTGTTGCTTCTTCTGTCTCAATGCTACCTTCTGTTGTCAGCACTGCTCCTTCTCCAATGGCAGAAGCCAGTGTCATAGCGACCTGCTCTGTGAGGCTTTCAGGGGTTGCAATGGTGATAGTGTCTGCAGCATCTGTGGTTACTTCAGAGTTTTCTGCTACGGTGACGTTCTGTACGATGATCTGGTGACCAGAGTTTGCTTGATTTACTATTTGTTGCACAACCTTCATAATGTGACTGTCAACCTACATTATGAGAAAAGTGGCCACGTTATTTCCTGATGTGTTGCACTGTTAGAAGTACAGTCGTCATCATAGCTGAAAACCACGTTTGATGATCAGTAGTGCAGTACAGCAAGCAGCATTTAGTTCCCATTTCCTCCAGCTGCTCACTGAAGCCCTCGTAAACCCAAGAAAAGCAGAGTCTTAGAGCATGTATCTTGTGTTACTGAAGATGTTTTGCCAGCAGGGTACTTCCTGGACTTAAGTCAAAGTATTGTTTGTGGTAAAATCTTAACAGTACACACTTAGTTGTTCAAGACAGGCTGGCTACAACTGAGGAGTCTCTGATTTTGCAACAGCCACTATTTCTAGCCTTCAGGAATTCATAAAGAGGTAATTTCTCACGGCTGAAGTGGCATCATACAATTCTATTTAGCCAGCAGCTACAGTCCCATGTACTAAGAACTACAGTTTACTAGCCTCCATCACTGACAGGGTCTGGGGTTAGACTGAGCTTTGTTCAAACTTGGTATGGTCACTGTTATTATTTTATACAGACAAGTCTGCAGAACTGCTTATTTAGCATGACTTCCAGACACTCAAAGTAGTTCATAACATTTAGAGGGGAGTCACAGAAAGAACAGTTTAAGTAAGTGGCTGCTTTACCTCATGTCTTGTTCCCTCCATTATTTCAGTAGCTTCACTGGTCTCCATATCTTCAGTAGCAGTCTTGAAAGACAAAATAGAGTGATTCCTTTTTTAGATAATTAGTTTGTTTTTTTTTTAAATTCCATTTCCAAGATAAAAGATATCACGATCTTTTATAAAATCATCCTGTTTCCCCCCACAATGCAGTAACTACTCTAGAGACAACTCCTTAAATTTTTCTCCAAATCCCATTATAAATGGCTACTTCACAGTAATGCAGAGTGCTCAGAAAGAGGACATCCTCTCTCAGCAGGATTCTGCCAACTGGCAGATTTTTCTCCTATTAGTAGCAGCCCCAGTGTTTACTATGGCAGCACTAAACAGACTCAATGAATGGACTGTTATTCTGCACAGATGATAGCTGTCTCCCTGTCACAAAGAAGGAGAAAACGAAATGCATCAATTGTTGCTTTTTGATGGTCACAAAAACTGTTTCAGACAAAATAAGCTAACTAGAAATGGGAGAAGAAGAAACTGAAGTTGAAGGAAAGCTGAAGCAAGTGTGAGAGGTCAGAAGATCTTGAATAGAAGTTCTTAGCTTCAGCTTCAGCCTTCTGATTAACTATTGCCAGCCTTTCCCACGTCCTCATTTTCCTGCCTCAGTTATGTGCAGGACAACAAGGCTGCTTGCTCGCTACTTACCTCAATGATGTATTCCTGAGTGTCTGCCACCACTGAAGAAAACTCTACCAAAACAGTATGAGGATCTTCAGAGATGACTGTTGCGGCTAAATTGTCAGCTGACTGGCTTTCCTCAGACACCATCACTTCCTCCACCTCTTTCAAAGCCAGAAGGCAGCCACCTGAATGGAATTCCAAAAATGCCATAAAAAGACAATTTACATAACCAACACAAATTTGGGAATACCTGGCAAATGCTATACAACACTAATGAGACCCCTTTAACAAGATACCACTGACAGCAATCAGCAGGCTTTAATCCTACCAAGCCAATTAATGTTATAGAAGAGTTCTATGCTTCATTACTTGTCCAAACCTGATCCTGGAAGAAACATGCATCTGCCCTTACTGCAACAGAGATAAACTTGGCCATCTCACCTTTGGTCTTTAAGTGCCTGTTTAGAGTGCCGTGCTCTGCGAAGCCTCGCCCACACTTGTAACACTTGAAAGGCTTTTCCCCCGTGTGATGGCGGATGTGGCGGACCAGAGAGCCCTTTTCCCGAAAACCCCGGCTGCAGTACTGGCACACGTAAGGCTTGTCCTCCAAATGCGTACGGAAATGAACTTGCTGAGCATTCTGTAGAGAGGAAAGTACCAAGAGCAGCTAAAGGGAATGATTTAATCAAGCAAGCAGTATTTTAGCTTTCAATGCGAAAGTCAGCGTGTTTGAGGACTTCTAACCAAAGGCATGATAAAGATGTTTGTATTATTTTCATACATGAAGGAACAAGTTCCTCAGAACTATGAATTAAGACTGCCTTTCTTGTCCCTACTGATACAAAAGTGTCTTCTGCTCTTGTAAGAGGACAGGAGCTGGCATTTGTTTGTTTCAGTAGTGAAGCCTCCTAGCTTATCCCAAACCCAAGCTCTGGAAAGGAAACTCTCAGGGTGAACCTGACACAAGGCAGACACACCTTGGTTTTGTACCGCTTGCCACACTTTGGACAGGAATATGGTCGTTCATCAGAATGCACCCTTCGATGCCCCTTGACATGTGCAATAGTCTTGTAGAGCTTGCCACACTCTCCACAGCGGAAACGCCGTTCATTGACGTGCACCTCCTGATGCTTTTTTAACAGGTAGCCCTTCGTGAACTCTTTGCCACATTCCTCACACTTAAAAGGCTTGTAATCTAGAGAGAGAAAGCATTAATGACAGAAATGCTTTAAGTTGGCCCCTTCACAAAACTCTACTTCTGCAGATGCCAGGCAGGTCCGGAAGCATGGAGCCTTTTTGTTAAGCTCTAGAACAAATTGTAAAAGAATAACAAAAACCATTGCTCTGATCTTTTCATGTTTTGTGTTAAGCATCAACAGAAGTTGTATGGCTGATGTTTCTGTAAAGGCAAAGAATGAGAAACAATGAAAACTACACTGTGTTCAAGATCCTGGTAAGAGAAGATGCATTTTAGACGAGCTGTGCATTACAGCCTTACCTAAATGTCCTTTGATATGTGTTTCAAGGGAAGCAGCTTCACTAAAAGCTTCATTACAGTGAGGGCAAATGTAACTTTTGTAGCCGTTTGTTCTTTCTGCATCTGTCTATTGGAAAGAAAATGGTACAGTATATATCTTTTTTTACTGCTCTGTATAGTAATTTTTTGTAACTACATTCCCAATTAAATACTCCAGCTTTCACCCCCCATCCCTCCCAAAAAAGACTGATACTGTTAACAGGAGCGTGCACTAACATGCAATAAAGCATGCAATAAAAACTGGCACAGAGACAAAGGGACAGGGAGAGGTGCATGGAAGATAATGTTCAGGGTGGTCAGGATTACACTACTATTCACAACGAAGTGCAGGCACAGAAGATTAAGAAATTAATCTACAAAGTGCAAACATACAGGCTCTGATGGTTCTACTTCGGCATGCTGTTCCCCACATGGCTCCTCTTCTCCTGCTTCCACCACTTCATTTTTTATTTCTTCTGTAGCAGCTACAGCAGGCTCATCTGCCTTCTGCATTTCTTCCACAGCAACTCTCTCTATCACAATGCCAGAATTCCTCATGGCCTGCCTCAGCAGATTCTCACTGTTTGCTTCCCCCTCACATGGCAGCTCCTTAGGATGCGATTGCTAAAGGAATCAATAGTCCAAAACTTGGTACAACAAACACACAGGCTTTTTGTGATATTTGGTTGAAAAATCAAAAAGAGAATGATCTTAAACTGGGAAGATGAGACCAATCTGTACTCTGACAACGTTCAGAGAATAAGCTTTTGCTTCTGTCAGCGTCTTGCAGCAGTGCAAGCAATGTAAACAGCTTCTCACATTTTGCATCATCCAGTAAGGGACCCTATGCATCTCAATGTATGCTCCACACTCAAACAAGGTCAAAGCAGAGTTTGCCTTCTTTGCTTTCAGATGAGAGAGGAGCTAATTATCCATTTATTTTTCACTGCACAGATTTATACTTAGCACCTGAGAAAATTTCACAAGGTAAAACCCTTCAAACTACTTCTTGCATAAAATACACAATATTCAAGAGAAATAGAACTCACATCTTCATCCAGAGATTTTGCATCTACAACAGGAAGCTCCTGCATTTGGACATGGACTTCATGAAGAACATTGCCTTTTGCATCTGTCACTAGATGAATCACAGGTGAGGTCTCAATGGATTCACTCGCTACTGATGGAACAGCTTCTGAGTTTGAACTACAGGATCCTTCAAGAAAAGTAGAATGTATCACCTGATGTACCACCCACCCTCATCCATTTACTGTGCCCTACAATAAATGTGTTTTAGAATATGAAGTGCCTATTAAAACCATCCTTGTAACAGATTCTCAAACATTCTTTATAGCCTGGCATCAACTATGTGCACTTCGGGTTAATAGTTTTGATCTAGACCAAAAAAAGGACATTTTCCAGTGTAAAAGAGAAACTGACTATCAGTGCAAAATGTTTCTTAAATGAAAAAGAATGTATAGTTTGAGTGCCAGGAGCATGCTTGGTTTTATCAGACACAAGGCAGTTGTTCACAGCATCACTGACCTGTGGGCAAATCATCTTTATTGACTACTATTTCCTTGTTCATGTTGAAGCGAATTTTTTCAGTGCAAGGCGTCAGAGATTTCAGATGCCGAGTCAACGCTCCTGATTCCCGGAAGCTTTTCCCACATTTCTTACATTTGTAAGGTCTTTCATCTGGGAATGACAAGAATCAAAATAACAGTATTAAACCAACAGCTGCCAGTTTAAGTTCTGTGTAACAGACTTACAGACGAGCGCTTTCAACTGCTTACAGCAAGCAGATTATGCTTATGTCACAACCCTGCACTGCCTCCCAGCATCCCAGACATCAGGAAACTCAACAGTCTCAACTCAGCTCAGTGGAAAATGGAAAGCAGCAATAAATTCCACTCTAAAGTGTGCTGGATAACAACACACAGTGCACCCCAGCAACAAGGAGCAACTTGAAGTTCTCTTACCAGTATGACGCCGATGGTGTCGAATCAGAGACCCCTTTGTCCGAAAGGAAGTTCCACAGAGTTTACATTCATAGTCCTTTCTGCTGCTGTGAGTGATCATGTGAGCTTTGAGGATGCTTGCCTGGGGTAGAAATCACATTTTGAAAGAAGTCTCAACAAATTAAATATTTTACATTTCAATGAAAAAGAGCAAAAATGTTCTTTTTCAAAGGTGAAGTTCTAATTTCAAAGTATATCACACTGTAGAAAAGCATGTTGTTATCAAGTCTTGTCTTAGTATAACAGCTAGCCTCAAGTTAGTGCTAACCCAAACAGTGTAGAAGTTACACTTACTGTTTTAAATGTCTTCTGGCACAACTCACACACATACCGCCCTTCTTTGTTGACCAGAAGCTTAACCTTTATCAGCTCTGTGGCAATATCCTGCTCCTGATCATCGGGGTTGCCTTGCTCTTCAGTGACATCGCCATCAACGTGACCATTTGGGTTTTCAAAAACGTGGTCTCCTGCCACAATGACTTCTTTTATGTGCCCGCTACCTGGGAAAAGGACACAGACAGTTATGTTCTGTACAAAAGACAGCTTTACGTGCCTATGTCGGATCAACGTATTGCTCCAGAATTTCAAGTGGCAGGAAGGAAAAAACAGATGCTTTAACCTGGAACACTTGTCTTTGTGAAGTCGGTATTGCTGATATTAGAATTTTGGAGTGAAAGCTTAAATCTAAGGATAGCTTTTGCATCTTGAGGATAATGCCCAGCCCTGAGAGCATAACACAGAAATGTCCTCTATGGGCCACAGCACAGCTGGCACAGGGAATAATGCTGGAAAAGCGAACCACCCCCTAACACAGGGCCACAAAGGCAGCACCGCACTCACCTACGATAGCCGACGCGTTGCCGATCTCCTCTGCTATCGAGGATGCTTCAACAACGATATGAGCAACGGTTATGGACTCCTCGACCGCGGGAACGACCTGTGGGGGCGGAGATGGTGTCAGCAGGAAGGGCTGAGCCCCCGGAGTCACCGCGCTGCCCCCAGCCCTCGGACGGGCGCCGGGACCCGCTGTCACCTTCGGTCCCTCGGGGCCCAGGGGCGGCTCCGGGCCGCGCTGGCAGCGCTTCTGGATCTTGTGCTGCACGAACTCCTCCAGGGAGGTGAACTCCGCCTGGCAGCGCCCGCACTTGTGCACGTCATCCTCGTCTGCAACGTAAATTCGGTCGGCGGGTTCGGGGATCGCGGGGATCGCACCCAAACCGGAGCTGCGGCCGCTCCTGCCGGGCCCGTCGCGGCCGGGCCCCCGCCGCCCCCCGGCCCCGCTCCGCCCGGGCCCCGCCGGTACCTTCCTCGCCGAAAGGCGCCGGGAGGCCGAGGAAGGCGCCGGACCCGCCGCCGGGCCCGGAGCCCGCGGCCGCCTCCCCCTCCCGCTCCTCGGCCGCGGCTGCCGTAAGCGCCGCCGGCCCCGCGCTCGTTGCCACCGCGGCCTCCATGTCGCAACGCGCCGCACCGCCAAGATGGCGGCTTTACGGCCGTGTCGTCATAACAACGGGCCGCGTGCCGCGGGACGGCGGCCGAAGGGGCTCGGCGGGGAACGCGGCCCCGAGCGGGGGTTCCGGGAGCGCCGTCGGTCCGACGGCCTTCGGGCGGTGCCCCCGCGCGCCCCCCGCTGACCTTTGACCCCGCGCCCCCATGAACCCGAGCCTAACGGGTTACTACGCGGGGCGGGCGTGGCTCGCGGCGGGGCCGCCCAACGGGCTCGGACGACCGCCCGCCGCCGGCCAACCGCGGCGCGTTGGGGGCGGGGCCGCGAGCAGGTTGGCCAACGAGAGCGGAGGGAGCCGGCCGCGCGGCAAGGCGGGGAAAGGTCCGAGCGGCCGGTTCCGTCCAATGGGAGCGAGGGTCGGGCGGAGCGCGGCCAATGGGAGCGGCGGAGGGGCGGGCTTCGCTCCGAAGCGCGGCGAGGAGGCCATGGCGGCGACGGGCGGGCGGCGGTGCCGGCGGCTGGAAGGCGAGACGGCCCGGGCCGTGCTGGCCAACGCCGACACGCTGCTGTTCGACTGCGACGGCGTGCTGTGGCGCGGCGAGGCGGCGCTGAGCGGCGCGCCGGCGGCCCTGGGCCGTTTGGCGGCGGCGGGCAAGCGGCTGTGCTACGTGACCAACAACAGCAGCCGCACGCGGGTCGCTTACACTGAGAAGCTGCGGCGCCTCGGCTTCCCGCCCGCCGAGCCCCGCCACGTTTTCGGCTCGGCCTTCTGCGCCGCCCGCTACCTCCGCCAGGCCCTGCCGCCCGGCGCCGCCGCCTACGTGCTGGGCAGCCCCGCGCTCGCCGCCGAGCTGGAGGCCGCCGGGATCCCGCACCTCGGGCCCGGCCCCGCCGCCCTGCCCGGCCCCGCGCCCGCAGACTGGGCCCAGGCGCCGCTGGAGCCGGCGGTGCGCGCCGTGCTGGTGGGCTTCGACGAGCACTTCAGCTACGCCAAGCTGTGCCAGGCGCTGCGCTACCTCCTGCGCGGCCCCGACTGCCTCCTCGTCGGCACCAACCGCGACCACCGCCTGCCGCTGGAGGGCGGCTCCGCCATCCCCGGTACCGGGCGCGGGGGTCGGGGGGTGGGAGGGGCCGGCGCCCGGACGGAGAGAGTAGCTCCCGTCCGCGGCTTTGCTTTGGGGCGGCGGCTCCTCGCCGTGCTTCTTGGTCTGGTTGTTGGGTGTTTCTGCGGGGAGCCACGGGTTGGACTCGGTGATCTGTACGGGCTGTCCTGTGATTTGTTTTCCTACGGGCGTGGCGGTTCCTGTTTTATCTCGGTGCGGGTTGTCCCTCCCCTCCTAGCAGGCTTTCAACTACTGGGCACCGAGTCCTGAAGCCCTCTGTGCAAAGCTGGGTTTTTGAAGTACCCCACGTGTGATTTTGTGCCGTCTCCTGCTAATGCTGAGAGTCCTTTGCAGTCCTTAACCGATATTTCTCCCCCCAGGGACCGGCTGCCTGGTAAAAGCCGTGGAGACAGCAGCAGAGCGCGAGGCTTTCATCGTCGGGAAGCCCAGCCGTTATATATTTGACTGCGTGGCCAGCGAGTTTGACATCGACCCCGCACGCACCATCATGGTGGGGGATCGGCTGGACACGGACATCCTCATGGGCAACACCTGCGGCCTCACCACCCTGCTGACACTCACCGGGGTCAGCACGCTGGAGGAAGTGAGAGGGCACCAGGAGAGTGACTGCCCTGCCCGGCAGAGCCTGGTGCCTGATTACTATGTTGATAGCATAGCCGACCTTCTTCCGGCACTCGAGGATTAATAGAGCAGAACGCTGGCAGCCCTGGGAGCCGTACCCCAAGGAGGGCCCCAATTAATCATCTCGTGACAGTAACGTACTTGCTATGAGACCACCTGAAGTTAGCAGCCCTTAGGTTTTTAACCCTTCTGTCCTCTTGGTATGATTTTGTTTACATCTCGGTCTTTTAAAATGCACTTTGAAACAAAGAGGGCATTATGGTGTCACCCAGGTCTTGTGGGTTTGGAGTTGTTTTTTTGTTTTTAAATAATAAGCAACACGTATAGCCAAACACTTGTGATACTCAGTGTCATGTTGTCCTCTGGACTGAGTTGAGGAAAGCAGAGCTGATAGAGCTGAGGAAGAGAACCCAGCAACTTGCAGCGTGTCCTCCTGGACATACTGTGACTCAGTCTGATTTATTCAGGGAAATGACTTTTGGAGTGTCTAGTAACTTAGCAGCTGTGCTTGGGAATGCTTGCAGTGGCTGACAGAATTAGTATTTGGCCTTTGGATTGATTTATTTTTTTTCCAGATTGGGTCTCCTTCTGCAGTATGGCCCACTCTAAGTGTGACTTAGGAACTGAAAGCGGTCTCCTTTATGTGGCCGTTTCAAATTGCACTTGTAATGCAGATAGGGTGATTCCACATGCAAAATACAAGCGGTGTCTTCTGTATACTGTAGTTGTCTGGGTGTTGGGTGTATGTGTAAAGTACATGTACATACAAGAACTACCCTAATCCTAACTCTATGTCAGAATATATTTAAAATATAAATTTAAGTATAGTATATGATAATATATCTTCTTTCCCAGAAGGGAAGCTATGAGGAATGTATTTCGCTGATCACAAAAGTTTTAATTCTCATTAGCTTATGCATTTGACAATGCAGAAAGTATGTAACCACATAGGACTGTCCTTCACTCCTGCTGTCCCCAGAAGTAACTGGCTTGATCAAACTCCAGGTTCACACCTGTTCTTCCCTCAGTGAGTCACGGCTCAGTCTGTATCTGTAGTATCCCCCCATTGCAACTCCACCAAAATAAACCTGGAAGAGAACCAGCTATATATGACGACAGCACGTGCTTCCTTTAAATAGCTGAATTTAATATCTTCCGTGTGTGGCTGGTGTGGGGGCCTGGCACAAGCTGCTTGTCTGAAGAGTGTTTGCTTGCTCAGGTGATGACTTTATTTTGATCCCTAGATAGCTTTTGTGTGATGCATAGCTCAGGCTATGGGATAGATTTTTACGCAGGCTAACTTGAAGGCTACGGTTCCAAGCTTTTGTATTGCAGAATCAAGTGAAAAATTATATATGCAAATAACGTTATTTTATGTATAGATTAAACTGTTGTTAGTCAAATTTAAGCACTGACCTACCTTCATCTCCCATTGTTTGGTTGATTAGCTCTAGCTGTATCGATGCCATTTCCCTCCACTCAGACACTAGAAATGAGTAGATTTACCACCTTGTTGGTACAGCAATAACTGTGCAGCCCATATTGTCTTTCAGTGTTATTAGCTGGATCTTGTAAAAGACTTACATAATTCAGAGTTGTGTAAGGAAGCACAAAACCTCTTTCCTGTTCTTGTCTCTATCCTAGAAGGCTTGCGAAAGTCAGGAAAACTTTCATGTTACCTGGGTTACACAGAAGTGGACATTGTGGGTTTATTGCAGGTAGGATCCGACTCAATGATGTGTTCTTCAGTTCACTTCCTGCATTTGGTGCTTCTAATTTCAGAATATGTCAAGTAAACCAGTACATGCCAGGTGAGGCGTTCAGCCTCTTGGAGCAGCACGCTGTCCCTGTTGAGCACTGTTCACTGTACAACCCATACCTCGATTCACTTATGCTGAAATGTATTTTTGAAGGTGTCCATTGTGCTTCAGAACTCTGTATCAACTTCCCAACGGTTTTTAACCCTCTACTTGAGTTCACATTAAACTTGCAAACCTGCTTTTCCCTTGCACTGTCTTATTTTGTAGTCTCTTTTGTGTGCTCTGGTGGAAATTCTGGGAGTTAAGGATATGTTTGTGTTGACCATCCCTGCTCCTTATGTAGAGTATTAGTGAATAAAGCCAACTCTGCAGTATGTAACTTCTGTTTGGGTGCCTGGAGCTGTATGGGGCTCTTAGCATTGGCTTGAATCACGTTTGCACAACGCAGAGTTGAATGATTCCCCTTCACACTGATGTTTTCACCACATTTTGTAGGTATTGCTTCATTCCTGTGCCTTAGATCAGGCATGGTATAAACTTCTTACTCTGCTGCCTGGACATAAAAGAAAAAAAGTCTCATAAAAGTCTCAGTATGGGGATAATGCTGTTTCTGTGTTGCAATCTGTGGTGCTAAGCTTTGCTGCAGCAGAAGCAGCTGGTAGACTGCAGTGGGAGGTCTGCTTTGTGTTTTCTCTAACATCTCCATCTGCAGAAGGAGAACTGGTGGTCAGATTTCAACCATTTCTCTTTGCATCAGAGAAACAGCAGCGCAGGGCACCAAGTGGCTGAGATGGCTGGTTGGGGCATGCTGACCTGGTCTTTGATTGCACCTGAGCAGTCATGTCCCCCAGAAGCAGCGTGCTAGGAGACTGTGCTGCTCTTCTCAGATAGGCTTTGATTTACAGAAGGAAGCACAGAAGGTACAAGTGGGGGAGAGCGCGTGGCTGTTGCTGCTTAGGGATAAATCCTCTTGGCTGAGTGACCCATCCTGGGCCACGCTTTTGAGGAGTGTCCCAAAGCTGTGTCATCCCATTCAATGCCACATGGAGGAGTTCTGTTGGAATTTCCCTTGTCTCCTTGGCTTTGGTTATTCACAGAGTTATAGAATGGCTTGGATTGAAAGGGACCTCAAGGATCATCAAGCTCCAACCCCCCTGCTGCAGGCAGGGCTGCCAACCTCCACATTTAATACTGGACCAGGTATTCCCGGCTGGCAGCTCTCAGAAATACCAGCCTCTCACAGGAGTTTCTGAACTGCCCAGGAAAACTGATCTGAGCTGGGAGCTCTGTTCTTGTGAGGTATTTCCCATCACAGAAATGTGTTTGCATAAGCGCAGCTCATGTGATGGTGACTTTGCAGCTCAAGTCTGGGATCAGGACAAGTAAAGAATCGTATATGGAATCACGAATGTGTGTGCAGCCAAGGCTTGCAGTGCACCAGTCTGCAGGATAAACAGTTGGCTTCAGCCCATGGGGATCTGGCAGCACAGAGTTCATGCTGAAATGTAGAAATAACTGATGACAAGGGCAGGCTGCCACTTTTCTCTATTCATTTTATCTCTTAATGAGACTCACCCAGTCCCACTACTGGGGGCTGCCAGCAGGGAGGCCCTGCACAAAGCCCTCAGTTATATTCCACCTGCGTGCCTCCAGCTGGCTCACAAGGTGAACAGGAAGAGTGCTTCTCTACCACTGACAGTATCCCTCTGCACCCCTGGCTGTCCCCCCCTCCTTCCTCCTCTCCCCTGGCTGCAGCTCTAAGGTTTCACCCTCCTCGCAGGTCTGAGCTGAGGAGCACCTGGCTGGAACTCCTTTGGCCACAAGGAACGCGCATTCACGTTTTGCAGGCGTGTGCTTAGGTTTCCTGAGCACGTTCGGAGCTCAAGATCATGCCCAGTCTGTGCATCAGCAGGACGCAGAGCTGCAGGAGCAAGGTCGTCATCTGAAGTGGAGGATGGAGGGTGGGAACAGCCCCAGCGACGCTGTCTCTGCAGTGAGTATCCCTGGTCCCCAAAGGATCACACAGGGCTCTCGGTCAGTGCTTGCTCAGTAACTGTGCCTCTTCTCAGGGAGCTGAGTGTCTGCCTCCCCTGTGTTCATTCGCTGGTTTCTCACCTGGGAGAAATCTGCTGGCTGTTGAGAATCTCCCCGTTACTGTGGGGTTTGAGGCACAATTGCATTTGGATTGATGAGCCTCCAGCTGTGCACAGCTCTGACTTGATTACAGCTCGCTGCTGTCCTGGTGGAATATATGTGGGAGTTACACAGTGCTGAGAACGATCAGTTGCAGACATGGAGGCTGCAGAGCCCACATACGGGCCTGCAGCAAATCTAACCCTGCAAATTGGCTGAATTTCTCTGTTCTTCGGAGTATTTAAACTTTCTTTTTTCTTTTTAAAAGCACAGTTGTGGTTATTGAAAGCACATCCTTTCCGCTTTGTAAAAATGATTTTGTGTGCCATTAAGTTAAATGGTTTAAATATAAAAATTAAAGTGATTTTTATATCAAGACATGGGAAGTGCTAGCATGACCACCAAGCTGTTTTGCTTCAAGTAACAGCTTGCTTTGCATCACTCTGTCTGTGGCCACGTGTCCTCTTCCAGCCTCCTGCGGGGTTTTTGGGTGCTGTGCATCCCTGGCTGCCAGGATGCTGTTTTGCCAGCATGGCACACCACACAGCAGGACCCAAATCACGTCCTGGGGGCTGAAGGCAGCCTTAGCACAGGGCTGCACTGCAAAATTGCAGTTCTGCTCTCAAGCAGCCCCAGCAGCTTGCATAGTGATTTCTTTTGTGAGCAGGAATTGTGTTTTACGGTGAAGGATAGAAGCAGCAGAAGCATTAATTTTAATTCCTGTTCTTTCCCTGTTTTCCTTGGCTCCCAGGGCAGGAGGCTTGCAGCACGATTCACAAACCCTCCCAGGACATTCTGGATCATCTTGTCCATCGCATTGCTTTTTGCAGCTGTTGGCATCAGCATTGGGGGGATTCTTGGCTTCTCCCACGGCTCTGCCCAGGTAAGGAACTCACCCAGGGCAGAGAGCTTCCTCCTGCCCACAGCCCGCTCTGTGCCTGGCAGCTCCTGCAGCCTGCAGAGCACTGTGAGCAGCGAGCTGAGCAGCTGCTGCTCACCCTGCAGCATCACTGCCAGGAACCATTGCTTAAATTAGAGGAACTTCCACGCTTCATTTGTAAACCTAGACCCAAGCTGGCATTTTGCTAAGCACGCAGCTCCCAGCATGTTGCCATATTTGCTAATGGACTCTGCCAGACAGTATAGAGCAGCAAAGGATTCGGGGTGGGGATGCAGGAGAGGAGATGGTGTGTGTGAGTGCTGAGCAGCTGATGGCACTACTGCCCTCTCTCTGTGCCAGGCCGGACCACAGCTCAGCCGGATCACACTGCATGGAGAGCAGGACGTGCCGAGGAACCAGACAGCCACAGTTGATGTGTCCAGGAGCACTGTCACCTACTACATCACCTCCCGGAGTAACCGCAGTGCCATTGTGCTGTACGACAGCCAGCATGTGAGTGTGCTGCATCGCATCCTGCCGCTGGGGTCTGAGTGCAAAGCAGGAAAGCACAACCTGCTGCTGTTCCATCTGCATCCCCAGCACTGTGCAGAGCTGCAGGAGATAAGCAGCCACAGTCTGATCGGAATGCACTGGGCACAGCACAACCACAGCAGTTGATGCTTTGTTAGAAGGGAAATAATGCTCCTGGGCAGCACTGCTTGCTGTAAGGCACATCTGTCTCACAGGGCTATGTGTGCTACAGACCTGCAGAGCAGCATGCCTGCTACCTGCGCACAATGGACCCTGAGGACCGTGAAACTGCACAGGTGATGCTGAGTGCAACTGAGCAGAGGGTGAGCTATGGGCAGCACAGGTTGCTCGGGTAGAAGTGGGGATTTGCACAGAGCTCTGGCATGCTGACTGCCCTCCCTGCCAAGGACAATGCCTTCTGGGCAATGCTTTGTTTCCCACAGGGCTCTGAGGAAGGATGCAGACAGCTCCCAGTGTTGCTGAGAGTCCATCTGTGAGAAAGAGGAGAGCTGCGGGTTGGGGAAGGGGGCTATGTCCCACAGATGTGAATAGCAGGCCTTTCACAGGACCCAATCCCACTGTATTTGGTTACCTGCTCAAAATTCTGGGGAAAAGGAAACAAAAGGGTTTTGTTAGCAGTGTGCAGGGAAGAAAGTTGGAGTCAATCACGTATACAGACCCTCTTAGCAAACTGCTAATGGATGCATGGAGGGAGCAGCTCCTGTTTCAAGCAGCCAGATGCCTGCTTTGTGCCCCTGCCAGCTGCTCCCTTTCCTCAGGCCAGGGCTGCCCCAACCCAGCCGGGACAGAGAAACATAGGAACTGCCAGCTCTAGGTTCTAAAAGGGATGGATGGGGAGGTAAGCAGCTGCCAGGCACTGGGGTTCCTTAATGAGTGCTTTCACTTAACGTGAGGCACTTTTTGGGTGAGTTGGAAGTGGGAGCAGGGTTGGGGCTGAAGGAGCAAAGTGTCTTGGAAGAAATAACAGGGCTTTTTTTTCCAGGGTGACACATTGCTACTCCGGAATAACCAGACCAAGTACTACAGGGACTTCCTGGGCATTGTGGCAGGGGAACAAGTGGACCCCAAGGGCCTGGGTGAGGCCATCCAAGCCCTCTGTGAGCAGACGTACATCTTCTGGGTCCGGAGAGCAGATGGTAAGCTGCATCTCCTTTTGCAGAAGAGGAAAGCATGTTTGGTTAAGGACCTCTAATAGGAGCAGGGCTGTGCTGCACAAAAGTCAATGGGCTGCCAAGGCAGGGACAGGTGACCTCTGCTTCAAAATCAGGCCATTGTTCAGCCATAGCTGAACTGCTGGCTCACAACCACAACCTGCAGTGAGCTGCAGTACTGCTTGGAGGCTCTGTGCCCCTTCCCTGAGCAGCACGGCTCCGGCTCTCTGCGATGCTGTTGGCTTAACACCTGTCACCTTCATTTTCCCTAGAGGCAATCTGCAGCTCTCACCCTGGCCTTACTCCAGCATTAATGAGAAAGGTCATTCCCTGAGGCATTCTACGAGTTTGGCTCTCTAGAGACTCATAGCTACAGGGCTGCAAAAGCATTCCTCTCACCATGTTTCTGTCCTTGCTCATTTGGCAGGTCCAGGGAAGCAGCGGTTGATCTACCTTTGCATTGACATATGTTTTCCAAGCAATATTTGTGTGTCTATCTGCTTCTATTACCTTCCTGATTAAGTCCCGCAGCCACAGATGCCCTCTCACTGCTCTACATACTTGAACTGTATTCCTGAAAAGCCTCTGATTTCAGCAAGGAAGGTAACATCTACACCACTGCCTAAAAGCTTCCTACTGATCTCATGCTGCAGTTCAGGAGAATCTAGGTAATGCAACTCTACTCAGCACTGTTGGTACAGACACTTTATTTGCAGCTGCACTCCAGGGCTGCATCTTGTACGTAGGCAGTAGATCTAGACAGAGGAAACACATGGAGTAGCTTGTGTTTTGTGGCCATGTGCTCTGTTCGATACTGGGTTGTTATACTTGCTGGGGGTGGTGGTTTTCTAAGAGAGCAGATCTCCCAAAAAAGTCTGTGAAACACATATTTGAATAAAGGGACTGCAGAACAAGAAAGCAGCTGCCTTTCCTCTCTCTGTACAGCCCATTCCATCATTTAGAAAGGCTGATTTTTTCCACTTTGGGAAAAAAATAAAAATAAAAAAATCACAAAGCTGTCAAGAGCAGAAGCCACAGGGATGTCTCCAGCAGCTGCTCTGCACCCAGCTCCCCTCAGTGGCACTGTGCCTCCCATTCCCTTTTGTCCCAGCGGCCCCCCTGGGAGGCCAAACACGTTTCAGTAATGGTCTGCCTGGAGCTGAAGCCTGGTGTTGCTCCAGGCAGCTGCAGCTGTTTCTGCCAGAGTTGAGTCCTCTCCACCAGGGGAATGGGGATGGCTAACAGCACATTTCTAGGTCCAGAGAGGGTGCTGGCCGTTTTCAGACGAGAAAATAAGCAGAGGTCCTTTTGTTCCAATACAACCATTATCCCAACACGCTGTCATTGAAAGCAAGGCAGACGACTGCTTTTTGGTGCCCGCTGTATTCCCTCTTGATCTCTCCAGTCTCCACACACCACAGTCTGGCCAAGTTATCTGAAGAGGCTGGAACAGAATGAGAAAAGAGGAGGGAGAGAGATTGTTACACTTCAAGTTTTTTTGTTTTTTTTGTTTTTAATTAGAAAAAATGTCATCCTCTTGCTTCATTCGACAGTTATGACTGTTGATGATGACAGGCAAGGGAGCTGTGCAGAGCAAGAAACCTGTTGTTTCTGAATTGGGATTTTCACTAATTCAGAGAGAAGCTACTATGGAAATTATAACATGTTTTGAAAGGACTACTGTACTGCGAGTGCTGCAAGCAGCATGTCTACCAGGTGAAATGAACTGCACAAGAGGATCATCTCTCCAGTTTTAACAGAGCATCTGTTGCCTCCTATTATAGCACAGGCTGAAAGCTGAAGGGATTTCATACAGTGCAGTGGGCGTGAGACTGGGTGCTCTAACAGAGGAGTCTTCTTTTCTTACATACAAAGGTACACTAGGGTTTGGCAGTATTCCTGCTAGGTCCTGTGTCACCATCCAGCATTGCCCCACCAGCCTGCAGGCAGGCAAGGAGGGCCTCACCTGTGACAATGTACTGCGAGTCTCCGGAGAAGGCACAGTCCCACATCCAGCCACGAGAGGTTTCCCCTGGATTATTGCTCTTAATGCTCAGCTCTGTCATCAAAGAGAAATTTGAAGTCCTCCAGATCTTACATGTCTGATCTGCAGAACAGGTAGCCAAAAGCCTGCATGGATAAGACAGCACAGGTAATCTTATTAGTCATGCTGTACATTTAAAGGCCTCATTAATGCAGGCCTGAAACAATAATGAACTGAAGCCCTGTGTATTTAGTAATCAGATTTCTTTACCCCGTATCATCTGTCTTACGAGATTCAAGCTGAACTGATCTGGTGGAGGAGCACACTCACGTGGAGTCGGGGCTGAACTTGCACTGCAGGGCGTAGCGGTTGTGTGCTGGGATCTTGGTCTTGGGGATCAGCTGGGTTACCTCCTCTCCGATGCCACCCGTCAGGTTCCACACGTAGCAGTTTCCCTGTGAGGAGATGGGAGGTCAATGGCTGGCTTTGTGGCCCTCAGCCAAAAGCAGCCTAGACTCTGTGTTCCATCACAGCAGAGCAAAACTCTGTAGTGCGTGGAAACTGGCTGCTCTGCCCCACAAGGACAACCCAGCACTGTAAATCCCATCCCATGTCCAAGCTCACCGAGCTGTTAACAGCTGCCATGTAGCTGGCATCAGGGTCAATGTGCACAGAATTCACGGAGACTTCAGGCTCTGGAATCAGCTGCTCATTGTGGTCTGTTTTCAGGTCCCAGATGTGAATGGCCCCACTCTGGTCACCCACAATTAGCTCAGCCTGCAAGAAAACAGTGACTGTGTCCCTCTGGGAAGAACCTCCTAAACAGCAGCCTTGGAGCCAAGTTCCAGAACAAGCCCATCCAGCACCAGAGCCCTGCTCTGCTTTAAAGCATTGGAGTCCTCTTCCACTGGACTACTCCCTAGCAGAGCTGAGCCTCTGCTTCTGCTGGGAATAGTTTCAGAGCTCCTGCTCTTGGGCAGACTGCAGCCTGCTGAGCACCCCATGCACTGACAGCAAACCAGGCATCAGTCTCACCTTGCACTCTGCAAAAAGGCTGTTTAACTTAACAGAAGTGTTTGCTAATTTTATAAACCCCACTGCAGAGAGCAGGTGCCTGGTTTCCAGAACTGTTGTTTGGGGCAAAAGCTAAACAACATCCACAGAAGCCAAATGATTTTCAGCATGTCTGAGCAGAGAGCATGAGGATGTAGCTTGGCCAGTAAACAACTAAAGCACTCAAGAGCATACAGATACCTGAAGAACACAAGCCTAAGTGGGTTTTTCTCTCTCTCCCCTGCCCCAGGAGGGTAAGGACAGGAGCCAGCTGAAGGGCAGTAGCTCTGGCTCCAATCCCTGCTGCTCAGAGCAGCAGACAATGCTGGCAGCTCTCCATTAAAACCTGGGCTTTTTATCGACAGACTTACGCTGTCCATAATTTTAGCAGAATCCCTAGAGGAGATCAGGTCATCGGGTGCAGCTAATCCTGGACCTGTGACCAATGGCTTGCTTCTGGGGAAGACAATCATCCCTTGATATATTTAGCTGACTGTGTAGTGCGGAAGCATCTCCTGGACACCCCCTAGTCCACTCTTAGCAGCAGTTGCAAGTACAATTCTAAAATTGCCATGGCTTAACACAGGCCATGAGAAATCCCTCTCTGAGAATCAGTAGCTCCACAGCATGAATTGCACAGACAGGATGGAGCTATCTGATTAAATACTGCCACCTCTGGGCTAACTAACTGTCCTGCTCATAAGCCATTGCTCCTTCAGTAACACAGCCATAGCGATTATTCTGCATGCATGATCTATGTGCAATATTTGTTTTAATGCAACACATTCTGAGTTCTATGGTGCTGCAGCACCAACACTCGGCTGAAGTCTGTTCCAAATGATCAATCTCACATTTAGTCCAGACCTCAGCATTCTGAGCTTTTATAAAAACCAAAAGCAAAGAAACATTTCTATTACTCATTTTTTAAAAAGGTTTACTTTGAGAAAAAAAAACACCTTATGCTGTTTCGAATGCAGCTCCCACCCTGCAGCACCATGGATACAAAATGGACCGCATGCGTTACAAACACTGCAATGATACGCATCGATTTTCACCAGCATGCTCACTAATGCATCCCTACCATCCCCATTAGCTTCATTTCCTCAGCCCGAGCGACCTCTCTGACAGCTTTTGAACTGACTGGTGGATCTCTAGCAAACCCTGAAGACACCACAGATCTAACCGGGGTTCTTGGCCTCTGCTTTTTTCTGCTGGCAGTGCTATCCCACCTCGTGAAACCTGTTGCCCTCCCATCACATCTGGTTTTATTTATGGGATGGTCTCAAAGGAATGAGAGTGGGATGAGAAGCACTGCACTGTCTCTGTCCAACAGCCAGCAAGTAATTAGCACAAACAAGCTCAGCAAAGTCCCATGGCTGCAGCACGCGTGCTGATGCTTGCTGCAGGTGCAGAACGAGCCAGACACAAGCCAAGGACATCTGCTGGCTGCCAGCCCTGCTCGGGGATGTTTGCTCCCTGACAGGGAGCAGCAATGGCAGGGGCAGGGACACACTCTGCCTGCACCAAGCCTGGTCATGCAGCAGCTGCTTTGCAAGGGAGCAGATGGGCGTGCAGCTGGAGCTGTTGCTGCCGATCCTGCAAAGCCACCGAGAGCTGAGGGGTCCACGCAACCAAGACCATCAGCCTTCCCATGGGCTCAGCAATGCTCCAGACTCCCAGGCATTTAGCGAGCACCACCTGTTTCAGGAAGGACAGTGACAAATGTGTACCTGGTTGGGGTGCAGACAGACGCAGTTAATGGGAGCGTTTACTTGGAAGATCCGCTGGCACTGCAGGTTACGAGACCTGCAACAAGAAGACACCGAATGAGCCCAAGTGAGCCTGCGGAGGAACGCCCCCCTCCAGCAAGCCCTGCGCTCACCTGAGGTCCCATATCCGCGCCATGCAGTCCTCCCCACCCGTGTACATCCAGCGGCCGTCCTCGTGGAAGCCCACAGACGTGATGTTCTTGCTCACACCGTCGTAGTTGATGACAGGGTTGGGGTTGTTGGAGTTGAGGTCGTACATGCGGATGTGTTGGTACCCTGCAATGGTGAACAGGGCTCAGTGGTGGGGGGCGTACCAGCGACCCCCAGCACCCCGGGGCTCACCTGCAGCCGCAATCATGCTGCGGTCGGGCGTGATCTCCAGGGCGTTCACCTGCTGCCGGCGGTGCTAAGGGCAGCAGCGGGACCCCACAGCACAGGAATCCCTGCTCACACAAGCACTCCTTCTCCCATCACACAGAGCTCCCACTGCAGCACCACGACCACCCAAACCGGGCCCCTCTCTCAAGCCGGGTTCCCCCCCGTCACACCGTAACCCCGTGTCACACCGTAACCCCGTGTCACGCCGTGACCCCGTGTCACGCCGGACCCCCCACACGCCCGCATCCCCCCACGCCCGCCCCGTGGCAGGATACGGAGTCCTGGTGCTGCACGGTGCGGGTGCAGATGCCGCTGTGCGCCTGCCAGAAGCGCACCGTGTGGTCGTACCCCGCCGTGGCCAGGATGACGGGGTCGCTGCCCACCGTGCCCTGTGCCGCGTTCATGGCGGCGGCGCCGCGGGGAGCCGCTCAGGGCGGACCCGGCCCGGTGGCGGCCCGCGCGGAGGGCACGGGAGACTCCGCGCATGCGCCAGGCAGCCGGCGGCCGCTCTGCGCAAGCGCACGGCGCTTCTCCTCAGCGCGCAGGCGCGGGGTGGGTGACGTAAGAAGGAGCATGCGCAGAGAGCAGAGCGGTGAGCGATACGCGCAGGGCGCGGGGAGGTGAGGCGGGACTGCGGGGAGCAGTCAGCAGTGAGTGACGTCCCCAACGCTGCCGCCAGGGGGCGCTGTGCTGGAAACGGCCTCGTCGCACCAAGCAGAGCGAAGGGAGGGTGGCGGCTGTATGGGGATGCGGGGCACCGGGATACGGGGTGGGGGCACGCGGGGCACACGCGGGGCGCACACAGGACACACGTCTCGGGGCCGGCGGGGCTCTGAGCCAGCGCGGAGTCGGGCCCCGCCGTGCCGGTGCAGCCGTGCTGTCGGGCCCTTTAAAAGCGGCGGCCGTGGGGCAGTGCTCGTACCCGCGGCCGTGCTCGCGCCCGGGGTGCCCGCCCGGTACCGCACCTACCGGTAAGGGGCGCGCTCCGGGGGCTGGGGCTGTCCGGTGGGTCCCGGGGACGCCATGTGCGCACCGCACCGGGAGGCGCAGCGGTTCCCCGGGGCGGGCGGCGCAGCCCTCTCCCGGCACGGCGGGATTCGGGGGGAGCGGGGCTGGGGCGCGGGGATGCTCCGGGAGCGGGGCTGTGGGCTGGGCTCGGCGCGGCCGCCCCCGCACGCACCGCCGCGCTGCGGCAGCGTGGGCTCCGCATGGCAACGGCGGCGGGACGGCCGGGCACGGCGCTGCGCGGCTCCGAGAGGTAAGCGGAGAGGTAACGGGGAGCGGGGCCGGGCGCTGCGGGTGAGCGGTACGCGGCAGGTGGCCCCGAGGTGCGCGCAGCCGTGGGCGCGGCTGCCCTCGGTGCTGCAGCCCGGCACCGGCAGGGTCCGATCCGGGCAACCTGCGTTCTATTCGAGTTAGATAACGTATATTAAAAACGCCCAGTCTTGGCGAGCTGACAGCGTCTGTCCAAATATTTATATCCGCTCTGATCGGGAGCTGTGTTGCCATGGCAGCGCAATTAGCACTTTGTCTATTAACGGCCTTCCTGCGGCCAGGAGGTGCTGAGCTCCCCATACCGCGGGGTCTCAGAGCCCCGTGCCCTCCCGCACCCGCACTGCTCCTCCCACGAGGGCTGACGCATCGCTGCCGGGAGCATCCGTCGCCAGGCGGGATGGAAATGGTGCAGGGATGGGATGGCACAGAGCGAGTGCCGCCGTTGTCCCCTGCGGCACACCAGGAGCATCACAAAGCGCATCCATGCCGCACACGAGGCACATCACACGAGAGCAGGGCACAACCTGCGGCGATGGGCATGGATGCTCAGCACAAACCCGCACGTTGCTGCCCTGCCCTGCCCTGTGCCAGGGCCTCGTGCTCTGGGCACAGCGTGCCCCGTGCTGCCCTGCGGGATGTGCTGGGTCCGGGTGCAGCGCTGCCCTGCACTGTGCTGTGCAGGAGGAGGTGTCGGCAGGGATTAGGGTTGCATCTAGAAAAGGGCTAATTCAGAGCCCACGGCGCTGGGCGGCTCGCAGCAGCTCTCCCCTGGTGCCACCGCTCTGGCAACACAAACAAAACACTCGCAGTCAGCTGAGTGGCTCTGCAGCAGCAACGACCAAAATCTTTTTTTTTTTTCAGTTTCCAAATGCAGTCAGTGCTGAATTTAACCCTAGAAGGGGCTGCTCGCAGCTGTCCCGCTGCTGGGGGCTCTGATGGTTATGTGCCCACACTGCAGGAAAGGGTGCATGGGATGTGCTCTGCTTCCCATGGAAGTGCATTGGAGCTGCAGGTGCATGTGGGTCCTAGAGTGGTTCCTGCAGTGCCAGCTATATGGGAACCGCTGTGGCATTGTGTGTCAGAGCTGGCAGCATCCTCCAGAGTGAGGAGGTGGCACCATGAGGTCCAAGCACTGTGCCAAGAGTCCAAGCACTGCGCCATCCCAGAGGAGCTCTTTCCTGTACCTCTCGAGTGTCCTACGTGTCTCATGAGGGATCTGACATTGGTTTAATCCAGCGTATCTCTCCCACTCTGCAGTGCGTCCTGCAGACCCTGGACAGCACAGGGCGGTTTTGCTGTCAACCTTCTGCCTTCCGTGAGGAAAGCACTGCTCCTCCCACCGGGCTTAGACCTGAGGGTGTTGTGCTCCTGCCTCGCTCAGAGGCTGAGCACAGGTCCTGGAGGTGCCATGCCCGCCCCGTGATGCCGCCTGGCACAGCTGTCCCGTGACGCAGCTCTGTTCCCACCACTCTCAGCGGTGACACAGGAGCATACAGTAACAGGACCTGCTTCACAGCTGCTGCCTTGTTTGCATTGGTGGAGCACAAGGAGGCTGTGCTCACAGGCAGAGACAAAGGCACTGGGGCGCACAAGGTAGGAGGGACATGGGATGGCTTCAAACGTGGCCCTGATGAGGACCAGGGAGGCTGGAGGGGTGTCCCCCTGTCCCTTTTCTCTATGTGCCCTGTGCTTGGGGTCTCTCTATGCTGCCCAGCCTGGGTGCTGTGGCATGGGCAAACCTCTCATGTGTGCCCTCAGCGATGGCCTTCCAGCGGAGCCACAAGCTGAACCTGCTGCGCATTGCCGTGCTGCTCCTCGTGGCCTTGGCTGGCATCAAGTTCCTCTTCCGTGACAGGTGAGGTGGGAGCAGGAGTGGGACACAAAATGGTGTCCCGGTCCTGTGGGGGCTTGGTGCTGGGGGCATACCTCTGTGCCTCCCCAGCCCCACTCTGCCCCATGCAGCTTAACCCTGCAGCTGCACAAGCACATCAGCAAGGACAGCACGTTCTGGGGGGATGTGCGGGACTCTGGCCCCCAAAGCCAGGCTGTGGAGGTCCAACCTGCAAAGATCACGGCCCCAAGGCAGGGACCTAAGCAGCAGTTCCCCAAGGACCTCAGTGCCACTGAGATGAGGCTCGTTCACCTGGACCTGAAGGGAGCTGCTCCCAGGGTCTCCTATCTGGAGCAGGTGAGGGTGCCTGGGGACCGGGCAGTTCTGGGGTCAGACTGACCAGGCTGTGCCTGCTTGCTGAGCTCACCTTGCCATCCCACAGCTGTTCCCACTCCTGTCCCGACTGGGAGCCAATGGGATCTTGATCGAATACGAGGATATGTTCCCCTTCAAGGGGGAACTGGAAGTCCTCAAGTCCCCCTATGCTTACAGGTGAGTGGGGCTGGTGCTGGTGGAGGGATGGCAGCACCACTGGTGCCAGCACTGGGTGTGACTTGCATGGGCCATGCCCAAGATAATCGTGCTGGAGCTGCATTCATGCCTGTTTCCTGTTGCATGGTGTCAATATTTGGATCTTTAGTTCAGGCATGGAAATCTAGGAGGTGTGGGGTGGAGCAGGGCAGCTGGGGCAGGGCAGGGTGCTGCAGGAGGAGGAGGAGGGAATGTTCCCATACACTCTTGCCCCCACTGAGGCTGTCCCTGCCCTCCCCAGCGAGGAGGACGTTGAGTGGATCCAGCAGCTGGCAGAGCTCCACAAGCTGGAGGTGGTTCCCCTGGTGCAGACCTTCGGTCATGTGGAGGTAGGGGCCAGGAGTGCTTGAGGGGGGGCTGAGGGGTTGGATGGGGACCCTGAGTGGTGAAGATACCCCCAGAGTTGGGGCAGCCGCAGCACAAAGTGGCATGGGGCTGAGTCCCGAGTCCCCAGCACCTGTCTTGGGGATGGAGCCCTGGTTCTTGTCCCTCCTCCCCCCCATGGTGGTTTTCTTCCCTGCACAGTTCATCCTCAAACACGCCAAGTACCAGCACCTGCGGGAGGTGGAGCGCTTCCCCAACAGCTTCAACCCCCATGTCCCAGACACCCTGGCATTGCTCAAGGTCATCCTATCACAGGTGATGGAGAAGCACAGGCGCTCCTCGTGGATCCACATTGGTGCAGATGAGGTGGGCAGGGGTTATATGAGACCCAGACATTGCCTGGTGCCAGGCGTGCTGAGCATCCCCAGCCCCAAATGCAGGTCTTCCACCTCGGGGAGGGAAAGGACTCCAGGAATTGGATGAGCCGCAACAAGGGTGACACAGGAACCATATACCTGAACCACATCAAGGAGGTGCTGGACTTCATCTCCACACAGTACCGGGGACTGCGGGTGCTCATGTGGGATGACATGCTGAGGAAGATCAGTGTGGGAGCCCTGCAGGGTGAGGGGCTGGGGATGGGGACATGGCACTGTCTGGGCATTGTGGTGGGGGCATGAGTGGTGCCCAGTGTTCATGTCACTGTTCCTGCCCTACAGAGTCTGGGATAGCAAAGCATGTCTCACCTGTGGTGTGGTTCTATGCACCTGACTTTGACGCAGAGCGGATTGGTAAGGTGCCATGCCAGGATTCCAGGGCTGCTCAACAAGAGGGGACAGTCCCAGGGCTGGTGGTGCTGCCACTGTGATCTGTCCCCATCTGAGCTGTGCCTACCACCCTGCTCCCCACTGCTGCAGGGCAGTTCATCACCAAGTACATGGAGAGCGGCTTTGAGGCTGTGTGGTTCGCCAGCGCCTTCAAGGGCACCACGGGCCCAACACAGAGCTGGCCCCCGCTCAGCTCCCACCTGAAAAACCAGCTCAGCTGGCTGCGGGTGCGTGAGGCCATGCCACGCTTCGCCCCGCTGCGCTTCCAGGGCATTGTCCTCACAGGATGGCAGAGGTGAGGGCCACAATACATGCATGCCATCCCCTATGTGACCCCGTATGAGGCCCTGGCACTGTGTTCCCATCCTGCAGGTACGACCACTACTCAGTGCTGTGTGAGCTGCTGCCTGTCGGCATTCCCTCCCTGGCCATATGCCTCCAGACCCTGGTGAACGGTGAGCTCCCTCTTCCCCATCTTTCCAAATTGCAGCATCCTTGGGGGGCTTCATCCCTCCGTTTTGGCATGGCCCTCTCCAGGGGGATTCATGGAAGAGACACGGAGGAAGGTGCTGGAGGTGTTGGGCTTCCAGAGCATGCAGCTGGAGCAGAGCACATGGTGCGTGGCCAGGCAGGAAGGGTACATGGAGGGATCGGATGCAAGGTTCACCACCCATCCTGGGATCTCCCTTCTTCATGCTTTCCCTGCAGTGAGGGAAGAGGAGTGTTCCCCGGGGCAGAAATCTATCACATGGTGGAGCAGGTGAACAGACAGCTGAAGGAGAGCATCACCAAAATGCTGGAGGAGGAAAGGTAACACAGGGGAAGGCTCTGGTTGTGAGCATCCCTGCAGCAGAAGGGGCCCATGGGGTCGGGGTGGTCATGTGCCGCCCCCTTGTGCCTGTCCCCTTGTGCCTTCTCAGTGCCATCAAGGGCTGGTTCAGCCCCTACCACCGCAAGCACCAGTTTGGCAACCCTCGCAACATGGAGAGCTTTGGCAGCAAGGTGCTCAAGTATGTGTGGGGGCTTGGAGCACCCCCAGCCCTGCATGGGGCTGGGAGGGGATTCCAGTTTGTCTCTGTGGTGTGTTTCCATTCTGCTCCTCCCCACCCCAGGCTCCATGAGGACTGGGAGAGCTTTGTCCGAGACCTGCGTGCCCACCTGGAGAGTGTCTACTTCCCTGACACGGTGGAGGAATGGATGGAGGAGAATGTCAACCCCTACCTGGACCCTCTGCGGGACCTGGTCCGGGACTACCGTGCCATCATCCGCCTCAACGCCCAGCCCAAGGCATCTTAGGAGCTGTGTTTCCCCATGGACTGGGCAGCGGGGGCCATGGGAATGATTTATTTGCTGGCCTGCACCCTTCTTCCGTTCAAGGCATGATTGTGGTTTGTTTTGTACTGCACAGAGAGCCCTGGCGTGCCCCACTTCCCAATAAAGTATTTTCGTAGATGCTGCTGAGTGATGGGGGGGCTGCAACTGTGCCCCCTCCCTGCAGGCATAGAGGAAATGGGGCTGGGAGGATCAGATCATCCCTGTCCCATCTTGGGGGGACCCCTGCTCCTCGGGGAGGTCTCAGCTGCTTGGGGCTGGGGCTGGAGAATGGTGGAGCTGGTGAATTTGGTTGCAACATCTTCCACTACAGGCAGAGAGGGGGCAGCCACTGTCCCACAGTGTAGCTGGACTTCTGGGGGTGGCCATCTCCTCCCTGCAGTACATCACCCAGCACAGTGAGAGTGATGCTGGGGGCAGAGGCAGAAGGTGAGGGCTGCTCCAGGCTTTTCCATGCCTCGGTGTGCCTTGGTATGAAGGCCTGGCAGCGTCCCCCAGCGCCTGCTCCCCATCTCCATGGCTGCTTTCAGCAACTGCAGCCGCCACTGACTCCCTGATGGCTGGGAGGGAAGAGAACAGCACTCGCTTCCTGCACCGAGCTCTTCCCAAAGCCTTTCATCTCTCCCTTCCTCCCTCTCTGCCAGCGCCTGGAGCCTCCTGTGCTGGCAGTGCTCACTGTGATGTGCCACCCTCCTGCAGCAGCGCTACATCTAGGGTCTGTCTGTGTGTGTGTGTGGGGGGGTCCCATGTACCCCCAAACCCACAGCTCCCTGAGTGCAGGGCACTGATTGCAGGTCTGTGTGCACAGGGCAGGGATGCAGATGGTTCATTGCACGGATTTCTATTCTGCAAGGACCAAACAGGCTTGGCAAGAGCCTGGAGGGAGCTGCAGGGATATGAAGTTTTCTGAGGCTGCTGCTGCTGCAGTGTGGCTCAGAGGGGCAGGAGGGGTGCACAGCTTTGCTGCCCGGATTCTAGCTGCAGGGATCTTGGAGGCTGTGGATAGGAGAGTTTCATTGCAGAGAGCTGTGGGTACAAAGAGGCCTTCGTGGAGAAGCCACGGTTATGTCCTTGCATGGTGGCAGCTCCCAGCCCAGGAACCCCGCAGCAGTTCAGGTCCCCACACAGCCATGCAGTGCCAGCCTGTGGGATTAGAGGACAGATTAGGCGGCGTTTTGTGCTGGAAACCTAAATGTCCTGGATTGGAAAGTGGGGGGTGGGGAAAAGAGAAGCACCCTGGTGGGGGATCACCCAGAGCTGGGGGGCTGCAGGCAGAGCCAGGGGCTGCAGCCTGAGGGTATGGACAGGCCTGAGGTGGGCAGGGGCATGGCAGTGGCAGTGGCAGGGGAGATGTGTTCATATTTGGGTGTTGCTTTGCACTCCACATCCTTCCCTCTGCTCCATGCACCCTCTCCATGTCCTGCAGCTGCCTGTCCCCATGTGTTGCTCTCTGGGATGCCCTGCAGCTGCTCATCCCTGCTGTCCTTCTGTGACCTGTGCATGTCAGTGGGGTGTCAGCCTTTTGGGGTCTGCATATTGGTTACTCCTTCTGTCAGTGTGCTTCCAGAGAATGTTTATAAATAAGGTGATAGGTGCTTTATATAAATAAACATAAATATTTATGTATGTATAAATAAGTTTGTATATAGGTTATTTTGCCAGAGCTGGGCCCTTAGCGAGGCTTTTAGGCAGTAACTCACCCGAGAGAGCAGAAATTTGAGTGTGATTCTGTGCTGTGTTCAGGTCTGACAGGATACCACTGGTACATCGATGGGCTTGTCTATCATCACCCCGTTTCCGAGCCTGTTTGCAGCATCCTCGTATAGCCAGGCATCTTCCATCACCTTCCATGTCCCGATCATTTAGGCCACAAAAAAATTGCACGGGAACGTATGTCACCAGCCACTGTGTCCACGGCAGTGGAAAATTAGGCAGCAATCAGGGCTTTATTTAACGAAACGGGAAAGCAGCTCAGCCCGGTTCCGCTATCAGCCACCCGGGGGCCGACGGCGGTGACTGCAGAGGTCGGGCAGAGCCGGGACAGGCCGTAGGCGTATAGGGGGCTGCCGCCGGGCAGAGCGGCGGATTCGCCCCGCTCCGGCCGCACTGTGCCCCCTCCGCTCCGGGGGCACTGATTGCTGCCACCTCCCGCGGACTCGGCACCTTCCCCAGCTCCGGGGAGGGGATCCCCGCGCCCCGCCCGCAGGCACCGGGGTGGCCCCCCCGCGCCTTCCTCCTCCCCCTCCTCCTCCTTTTCCCCCTCCTCCTCCTCCTCCTTTTCCTCCCCCCGTGCAGCCCAGACCCCTCCCCGCGCGCTCGGGGCGGCCCCGCTCCTCCGTGCGGCCCCTCCCGGGGCTCCCCCCTCTCCTCTCGCATCGCCCCCGGGGTCGCCCCGGTGCGGCTCCTGGTGCCCCCCGCCCCACCGCGCCCCGCCCCGCCCCGGGCGCCCGCCGCCGCCGCCCCCGCCTCCGGAGCGGACTGGGAGGGGGGGCCCGCGCCGCGTCGCGCCGTGCGGAGCCGAGCCGAGCCGCCCCTCGCCGCGCCGCGGAGGATGCTCGGGCCGTGAGCCCGCAGCCGGCAGCTCCGGCGCCGCGGAGCCATGGGCAAGGACCAGGAGCTGGTGCAGGCGGTGAAGGCGGAGGACATCGCGGCCGTGCAGAAGCTGCTGCAGAGGCCCAAACCCGGCAAAGCCAGTGAGTGCCGCGACGCGGGGCCGGGCCGGGCCGGGCGGAGGCGACGGCACAGCGGGCATCCCTCCTCCTCCCCGGGCATTGGCACCCACCCGCTGCTCCGGGGACCCGGCCGAGTCGCGCCGTGCCCATCGCCGGCACCGCGACACCGCGGGCGGGGGCCAGGGGTATTCCCGGCGGCGCCCCGGGGGCACTGCCCGGCCCGGAGGTGGGGGGATACGGGGGGGCTGCAGGCGGCGGAGCATCCCCGGGCGCTGCGCGGGGCTGCGAGGAGCAGTGTGCGCTCTGGTCCCGGTGCGGTCCCGGTACGGCCCCGCAGCGGCTCCGGTACGCCCGGGGCAGGCAGGCAGGCAGCGGCCGGGCTGCCCTTGTCCTGTGCTCGGGAGCAGCCCGCGGGGATCGGGAAGGGTGAGGGCTGCGGCCCCAGAGTAGGGCTGGGAGCATCTGAGCATCTGTGTGCGTACAGTGTGTGTCTGCATAGACCGTGCATGTGTGTGCATGGACAGCGTGTGTGTGTGTGCACCAGGACTGCCGGTGCTTGCACACAGCTGCGTGTGCCTACGTGTGTGCAGCTGTGCTCGTGTATGTGTGTGTTCGGGTGTGCATGTGTGTCCGTGTTTGGGTGCATGTCTGTGTTTGCGTGCCGGTGTGTGCCCTGGCATATGTGTATTGGGATGCGTCTGTGTTGGTGTTTCTCTGTGTGGGGGTGTTTGGATGCATCTCCACGGGTATCTCCCCGCATGCAGCTCTGCATCGGGGCTTCGCACACCTCGGTGTGTGCACACCAGTGTGTGTGTCTGTGCACGGGGCTGCGGGGGTGTAGCCGTGTCTCGCTGCGTACGTGTGTGCAGCTCCCGGAGTCTCTGCTCCGTGTGCATGGCTCTGTTGAGGCGTTTCACTCGGGACTGAATTATTCATGGTGCTGATGCAGCCGCAGGTTTCAGGCCTGGTGTGCGGAGCCAGGGGCTGTCCCTGAGCACGGGACCGCAGCACACAGCCCCCACTGCCACTGCGCCCTGCATCCTTCCCTCCCAATGTGCCCTAAATGTGGGCACCCCATGGTCCCAGTGCCATGTAGGTTTGGGTGCTTTCCCCTTTTGTACAGTGGGGTTTCTACTTGAGCAGGGCATTGTGCTCTCTATGTTCTGGTGCTGAGCAGGGCTGGCCCTTACATCCCCTCGATGCCATGCAGGGCAGTGGTTGTGACCCCGTGTCCTGAGCTGTTGGCATGGTGTTCCCTATGTCCAGATGCCACATAGGACTATTGTGGTGTCTCCCATGTCCCTGGTGTTGCCCAGGTGCTGTCAATTCTGAGGGCCTGTGTAGGAAGAGAACAAGCTCCAGCTGTGAGCCTCATTCATCCCAACCCAGTTCAGATGCTTTTGATTCCATGGCCTCAGAGTGGTGTGTGGTGATGGGACTGTGTGTGGCCCACGGCACTGTCCCCACACTCCCCTCTCAAACTCCACGGCCTGGGTGCCCAGCTGGCGTTGCTGTGGCAACAGGCAGTGGTGCCAGAGTGCTACCACCTCTTCCTGCATCGCATTCATCTCTCCACAGCCCTGCTGCATCTTCCACTGCAGAGCCCATGGGCTGGGGTGGCTGTGGGGACTGGCAGTGCTCTGTGTGCTGGGCTCACAGTAAGGGGACAAGGGACATCCCATGAGGTCATACCCCCTCCTGTCCCATGCCTAGCTGAGCTGCATACCTCCAGCTGTGCCAGATCCCCTGGTGCTCTCACTCCTGCTCCTCAGAGAACCCAACTTATGGTGCCGTGCTCCTGGTGTGGGGACACACGAGCAGCCCTGCAGCAGGGCTGCAGGAGCCCAGGAGGAGCAGAACACCACCGGGGTGTCCCATATCACCATCCCCTCTATGTGCAGCTCCCTTGCTCACCTCGGGCACTCCCTGCACTCTTCGGCAACAGGAAGATTTGTAACTCTAGCTCTGTTATCTGGATAATATCCTATTCATGTGGGGGTTTAATAAATGAGATTTTAAAAATCCCTGCGTGAATTAACACGGGTTGCCATGGCGACGTGGGGCCCAATTTAGCAGAGTGGAGTAAGAGTTTGTGGGGCCCGTGCCGGCCGCAGCGCGCACCGCGCTCGCTTCCCGGGCATCCATAATTGATGAGGTTGTCTGAAAGTTACGCAAATCAGATGCAGGGATTTGGCAGCAAACTGTTTCCCTCCCTGTCCCCTCCTCCCCGGTGCTACCTCGAAGAATTGTCATGACTTGGCGTTTTCGCCTCTGTCCACAGCTTGGGCACTGTGGGGTGAGATGGGGGCCCGAGGTGTCCCCAGCTGGGTCTGTCCTGGGGTGCTGGGCACCAGGAGATCGGTTGTGTTATGCTGGTGCAGGGGACCCTCAGCACTGGCATTTTGGACAGGTGGGTTCTGTCTCTGCGACGCTGCCGCCACAGTTGGCTCACCAGCTTTGGAAATGGCTTCTACAGGGCCCCTGACTTGAGCCGTGGGGTGGACCCCTCTGCCCTGGCAGAGGTGGGAGACCACCTGCTGGGCTGGGGGTTCTGTGAATCACTTCCACATGCAGCAGGTTGTGTGGCACAGATGTCCTGGCTCATGTCCCCATGTGCTCTGGGGACACCTGGAGCCAGGCTCAGGAGATGGACAAGGGGCTCAGAACCTCACACACCTCTCTGCCACGGGGCCCAGCCCAGCCTGACCCCACTGCTGTGGGGCACAAGCAGCTCTCAGGGTGCCTCTGCCCTGGACAGCAGCATGACTGTGTTACCATCCGTGCTCTGCACCATGTCCTGTGTGGCACCGGTGGGACCATGAGTGAAGCAGCTGGTGTAGGAGCTGGGCAGCTCTGTGCAGGTTGGTGCATGGGGCAGCAAGCAGCATGGGCAGATGCTGGGACCAGAAGTCAACTATGGCTCAGCAAGCACCCTGAGGCTGCCCCACGTTGGGCACTGCCTTCCCGTGGCACTGGGCACCTCCAGGCGTAACACATCTTCACCTGCTGGTCCCATGTGAAGGGGTCAGCAAGTGGAAGCCAGAGTCAGGAGGCAGGAACTGGACCCTTTGGGGCACATTGGGTCCTCACAGAGCTGTGCCAAGCCCAATGCCAGGACACAGCATCCTGTCCTCTGATGCATCCTGAGAGGTGGCCAGTTAATTCTGTGTTTTTTTTTTTTTTTAGCCTGCATTTGATTGCATTAATAATCTCCTCTGATAACAGTATTTAATAAAACCAGGCTAATATGGCGCAGTTAGGAAATGTCTTTGACATTTTACAATTCAATTTC